GAAGAACAATCTTACTTGCCTGCACATAGCTCTGCTGGTCTAGCAGGTGTATGCACCGGCATCGCACAAGCTGTAACGTTAGGTATACGTCTATAGATGCAATAAGCAGTATCACTCATATACTTTATAGTGACACCTCTGGAGATGATTAAAGTGCGACAACAAACAGAGTTGGTTACCCATAAAAGTCAAGTAAGAAAATATACTGGCTTGATTCAAACAGGGTCCCTCATCATACGTCAAGAAGGGTAAAGTGCACAAGTAATGTTTGGTGTGGTTGATTCACCATGTTCTCTAGCATCAAAGCTCTTTACAGTGGATTGATGGCTACTGTCGCAAAACAATCTTGGGGTAACGAGTACATAGATGCAAGCAACCAACTGACTTTATGAAATAGGTTTATTTGTCAAATTCTCTGGATACACCGAGATCAAGGCCATGTTTCAAAAAGCGTCTGGGAGATCTGATGATACTTTACAACCATGGCAGCATATGGTCAGTTTAAAGTTATTCTTTTCGTTAGTGTGAGCTCATATGGATGTATATAGGCAAGTGGAGGTTTAGCCAATGTACTTGTGGGTGTACTAAACTCACCGCCTGATATTGTAAAGACAAGGTAAATGAAACAACCAAGAGAAGGAATATTGATGCATAAATAGAATGCAAGATGCTGGAAGACTATACACAAGTACTTGGGATTGTATCAAGTCGATGGCACGTCAAGAAGGATTCAGATCATTTTTTAGAGGATCTTGGCTTCGTATTATCCGCGTTGCACCAGGTAATTTCTAGTCATTCAATCCATACACTCACTAAATCCCTGTTCAAAGGTGGTGCTATTCAATTTGCATGCTACGAACAAATTCTTAGTTGGTTGAACAAGCGCTCTCAAACATTAGACTGAAGAACTTGTATTGCTTGTATGTTATGAGCTACAGCCAGTCATTAAATCGCATGCAATGCTTTCAAAAATAAATCTAAAGTATCATCACATAAAAACACTTTCACTTATGGTAGATCTTGACTGACATTTCTTCTTTGATGATAACAATCTATTGTCGCTTTTTACATTGATTTTCACAGTTCAATGTTTATCAGAAATCTATCTTTCTTTAGGACTCTATTGAGGGTTAAACATTCAAAGAGGCTCTCTTAAGTTTTTGTCCCTTAATTCTTGAGAGGCTATTCAAAATGGTTGTGGACTGAATAATTACAGTGGTCTGGATTCTGTAATTTCATAGGATATTGTCGGTAAGCACTGTTCAAAGTTTGTTTTCTGCTCACACACGCACTTTTACATATATACAAATCAATGAATTTCACATCTTGTTTCTTGCATAGAGTATTTATGCGCACAATTCAACATGACGTATAGGTGAATATCAGAGGTATCATAGCCACTGACGTAATGAAGTCCGGGGTAATCATGAGGATTCAATAGCCGCAGAATATAAATCAAATCAAACCAACACTATGTTCTGTTGTTTTTCTCTCTTTTCTTTACAAAGTGTAAGTAGCAAGGACGACATAGAAGAAAGAAGCTAATGCATATGGTAGTATCATGTCCTCCGAAGAAAACAACAACAACAATATTGCTGAACAAGAACTTGCTCGTCTTGACAAATTTGTAAAGGCTGAACCAGGTAGTGAATACACCATTGATCAAAAGGAGCAAGAGCTTTGTCGTAATTTTCCCGGTGGACAAAGCGAGTGTATTAGACTTCGCTTGGAATGTGAGTACTATTAAAAAAATCTTCAATGGCTTATGCGTTGTTATAGATACCCAAATGTTCACTAAAATGCAGGAATTGGGCTTTTTCTGTCAATTACCTATGGATCCCACAAAGACTTATATGGAGTGTAGAAGAGTGTAGACATTATTTGCGCGTTTTGTATATTATGATTAAAAAAAATAGCAATTCTTAAACAATGTGAGGTTAGTACAGGGTTTTCTTTTTGACTTTCGATCGCGTTCTGTCATTATTTATCCGGGGGTTTAAATCTGTATCAGCAATGACAGCCTTGAATTTCTTTTAGATATAAAAAGACTCGCTTTTACATTCAGTGTAAGTAAGTACAAAGAAAGAGAAAGAGAGAGTAAAAAAAAAAAAAAAGGGAATTGCTTGTAGATCAAAAAGAGAGAGAGAGAGAGAGAGAATAGAATGATGTGTTTCCAGATCAAAAAACCAAAATGAATAACAGTATTTCTCATTCAATGATTGTCTCTTTTCTTTTTTGATTTCTCGAGAATCTAGCTTCAATGGAATCAAAAACGAAAAAGAGAGAGCGTGTCTTTTACTCTATCCATAGTAAAGTAAGTGCATAGATACATTTCTTTCCAATTAGCCAATCAAATTAAAGTTTATACGTCACTTAAAAGACCAATGACACTTGGTCTTTTTTTTTTTCTTTTTACATCTTACTTTATTACTCCATGTCTGCTGATCCCCTATCTCTTCTTCGTGATTCGACCATCAGTAATAAACCTGTAGTACTGCTGAATGGGGCTGGCGAGACTGTCACCAATATTTCAGAAGCAAAGACTATCAAGTTTAGTGACAATACGACATTTCCACGCGATGTACCTACCAACTTTAAAAAGACAAATGCAGCCGAGACAGACACGTATACCTTAGAAACCCTGATATTCTTGGTCCAAAATGCAAAACTAGACAACTCAGCCTACTTTAAAGAGTGCCGTACACGCGGTATTGAACATGTATCGATTGTCGACAAAAGAAAGATTCTAGATTACTTAACAGGCAAAGTGGATCAATCACCCAATGTCTCTCTTTCTACGTCGAATGGTAAAGATCGTTGATCATAACACAAGACACTTATAAACCAATAGAAAAAAGAGCTCGCGATGATACCACTCTAACAGAGTCATTGACCAAGAAGGCTAAAGTAGCACCACCTCAATCTGAAGACTCTAAAAAAGTAGTTGAGAAAGTCAATTCTCGTGAACGAGAGATCATCACACGCTCTTCTGTCTTGCAAGGCACCAAGAACTTTACACATGCTATCAACTTGGCTAAACAATTAGTACTTGGAAAAGATGTCCCACCTGCCAACCGAACCAACACTACTCAAAAAGCAGGCCATAAATCGAGTACAAAACCAACCACTACCACAACACCTGTTACAGCAGCAGCCAAGAGTCAAAAACTGTCTTCCAAAGACAAAATACCACTTGTGATTGTGCCTGCTGCTCCTACAGCCAAATTCACATTGTACAATATCAAGCAATTTTTGGAAGATCAGAAATACATTGATTCACAAGAATTAAGAGAGGGTGGATTGAAGAAACCAGAGAGAGTGACTATAGAACGCAAAAAACCCAATGGACAAATTGTGCCTTATCATGTAGTGGATTCAGTTGCACAGTTTAAACAGAGTGATTGGGATCGTGTCTGTTGTGTCTTTGTAGCAGGACAGTTGTGGCAATTTAAGGGTTGGAAATGGGAAAGACCCGTTGATCTCTTTAGTAATGGTGAGTGCACAATAATATGTTCTATTGATTCATATCTCTATACAGTCAAAGGCTTTTATCCCAAGTGGAATTCTGATAAAGTCAATAGTCCTGCTTCTGAATGGGCTGTTACTGAAGTGAATGTAAGTCCAAGTAAATCCATATTGACTAAATAAATAACCACGCGTATAGATTCATAGAAGTAAAAGACATATGGATAGAGCTACTGTCTCTCAATTCTGGGATGCACTTGATAGTTACAATGCTACACATAAACCATACCTTAACTTTTAAGAAAGATAAAATAAACTCTTTTTTTTTTTTCTCTTTATTTTTCTGAACATGGTTGCTAAATTACCCAACTTGATTCCACCTTTTAGGTTTAGTATAGTAGAAGAAAACTTGTTTCGAGGTGGCTATCCAAAGCCTCGTAATAAACGCTTTTTAAAGAGGTAGGTTGACATCTACAGTCTCAAGTGTTCATCTTGATAGATTACGTCTCAAGACAATCCTGTCTCTTATACCAGACAAACTGATGCCAGAAATGCAAGCGTTTTGTGACCAAAATAATATCCAAGTATTGCACTTGACTGTAGATAGAATGAAAGAAGATAATATACCCTTGACATACAATAAGACATTGATGGCTCTACAAGTAAGTCGAAACCCTATCAACTCATGATTGACACACAAAACATACAGCTCATTATAGATCCTGTCAATCATCCACTATATGTTCACTGCCTTGATGGTGCAGATGTGACAGGACTTGTTATTGCCTGTTTACGCAAACTACAAATGTGGAGTAATTCAAGTGCCATGGGTGAATTTGCTAGAAACTTGCATACAAGTGTCGTTTCTAGTGAAGAATTCGAGTTTATTGAAAACTTCAAGAATTTTGAAGTCACTATTCCTATGACACTTCCACTCTGGTTATGGGGGGGACAAGTGAATTTTAGAAAGCATGCTAGTTTGCGCCTTAAATTCTTGAATTCAGAAATGATGACTGAAGAAGAAAGAGAACTGAAAGACTTGAAAGAAAAGAAAGAGAGAGAAAAAGAAGATTATTACAAGAAACGAAAGAATGGCAAGTAATCTATAGAGTAATAAAGGGATTAATCAAGCTTAGATTTACTGGATAATCTGTTTGAATCAAGTGCACCTACTCGACATCGATCTACTTCCAATAATCCCAATACAACAAATAACAGCACTGTGTCTACACCCATAACCAATGCTAATTCACCCATGATACCATCTGCCCATGTGGATGATACAGCCATGGCTTCTGAAATGAAGCATGAATCAAAAGATTCTTACCTTGTAGATGTGGATGTAGATGTGGATGGTGTGATGATGGATGGATTAGATCAAGTAGAATACAAGAACAGAACAGCTGGTAATACTTTGGCTGGTGTTTATGAATTCAATGACGATATGGAAGAAGATGATGAAAAGAACAGATACACTACAGAAGTGATCAGTAGAACTTTAGACGCATTAGCATTAGAAGGATTGACTGAGTTTTAATTATTAAAAGACAAGCATGTTTGTAGTATTTACTAAATCCTTCATGGTGGGATTTCTTTTCTTTTCTTTTTTTTTTTTTCTTTTTGTATGTATAAATATATATGTATATGTATGTGTGTATATATATATATGTGTGTGTGTGTGTGTATGTTAAATGACTATGTATAGGTTAATGTTTGTTGAAAATTATTTATCCACTGCACATGAGACAAGCATCTCTGTTGTCTATAGAACACTGTAGTTGTGCTACTTTAGCTTGTTCTTCTTCACTTAGAGCTTGTTCTTCGCTATTCAAACTCATGCTCTTAAGAGCCAGTTGATCCACAGTAAACTAAAGAAGATGAGTAACTATGCATACTATTTATGCTTACCTTAATGGCATCAACAGCAGGTCTTGTTCTTAAATAATACATGCCAGTCTTTAAACCCTTCTTCCAAGCATAGAAATGCATAGAAGTCAATTTACCATAATTAGGTTCAGCAGTAAACAAATTCATTGACTGAGACTGATCAATAAATGCACCTCGATCAGCAGCCATGTCAATGATAGTACGCTGAGAAATCTCCCAGACAGTCTTGTAGAGCTTCTTGAGATCATCAGGAATTGTAGGGACCTCTTGGACACTACCACCATGCGCAATCATCATGTTCTTGATATTATCATTCCAAAGACCACGCTTAACAAGATCATTCAAGAGGTGTTGGTTCACCACTTGGAATTCACCGCTTTGGACACGACGGGTATAGATGTTACTAGTGTAAGGTTCAAAACATTCTGTGTTACCCAAGATTTGACTTGTACTGGCTGTAGGCATAGGAGCAAGCAAAAGAGAGTTACGGACACCGTGTTGTTTAATATTGGCTCTCAAGGTGGCCCAGTCAAGACGATCAGATCCCTTAACTTGCCACATATCGTGCTGAAGAATACCTTGACTGACAGGAGATCCAGGGTAAGATGCATAATGGCCTTGTTCTTTGGCCAATTCACATGAGGCTTCTAGAGCAGCAAAATAGATACTTTCAAAGATATCTCTGTTGAGTTGTCTAGCTTCAGGAGAGTCAAAAGGGAATCCCATTAAAATGAAAGCATCTGCAAGGCCTTGAACGCCAAGACCAATACTATTAAACAATTAAAAAAAAAAAAATAGTGATTGAATGCTACTCACGGGCGATGACGCATGTTGCTTCTTTCAGCTTCTTCAACAGGATAATAATTGACATCAATCACTCTGTTCAGGTTGCGTGTAACAACCTTGGCAACTTCATGAAGCTTATTGAAATCAAATGTCTTTGTTGTCGTATCGACAAATTTGGGTAAAGCAAGAGAAGCCAAATTACAGACAGCTACTTCATCAGGAGAAGTGTATTCAATGATTTCTTTTGAAAGGCATGAGTATCAAGTATGTATGTTCAAGTATCATTACCTGTACACAAGTTGGAAGAAGTAATGGTACCCAAGTTCTTTTGATTTGATTTCTCGTTACAAGCATCTAATGAACCCATTAGAAACAGCCATAGCTGATGATAGGGTTACCTTTATAAAGCATGTAGGGCATGCCAGTCTCAATCTGAGCTTCCATGATAGCAAACCAAAGCTTTTGAGCATCAATGGTCTTTCTGGCCTTGCCTTCCTTTTCATACTTGGTATAGAGTGCATTGAACTTTTCACCATGACATTGGTCTAGGCCTGGAGCTTCATTAGGACAAAACAAGGACCATGGTCCATTTTGTTCAACACCTACGGTAAAGAAGATAAATATGTTATATATCAAACCTTTTTCAGTCACTTACGTTGCATGAAAAGATCTGACACCCAAAGGCCCAAGAATAAATCACGGGCACGGACTTCATCAGCACCTTGGTTCTTTCTCAACTCCAAAAAGTCAAAGACATCAATATGCCAAGGTTCAAGGTACATGGCAAAGTTACCGTTACGCTTACCACCACCTTGAGTAACAAAGCGAGCTGTATCATTAAAGACACGGAGCATAGGCACAATGCCATTTGAAGTACCATTTGTACCCGCAATATAAGAGCCAGAACCACGAATCTTTTGGAAAGAGACACCTACACCACCGGCAGCCTTGGAGATACGAGCACAGGTTGTCAGGGTATCATAAATGCCCTCAATACTGTCTTCTTTCATTTGAACCAAAAAGCAGCTAGACAGCTGAGGCTTGGGTGTACCCGCATTGAAAAGTGTGGGTGTAGCATGCGTAAAGTACTTGGAAGACATGAGATCGTATGTCTTGAAAGCGCTTTCCAAGTCATTGCCATGAATGCCAAGAGCAACACGCATGATCATGTATTGAGGGCGCTCGACGATTTTACCATTGATCTTGAACAGATAACTACGCTCCAATGTCTTGAAACCAAAGAAACTAAAATCATAATCTCTATCGTGGATAATGGTAGCATCAATCTTGTCTGCATGAGCCATAACAACATCATAGAGTTCTTTAGATATAAGTGGGTTGGGTTCCTTAAGCTTAGGATGAACATGATGATAGAGCTTTGAGACAACATGACTGAACTTGTCATCTGTTTCTTTTTGAAGATTGGAGATAACGATACGAGCAGCCAAGACAGCAAAGTCAGGATGATTGGTAGTCATGTAAGCAGCCGTTTCAGCGGCTAAATTATCTAATTCGACCGTTGTGATGCCTTGATAGACACCAGATACGACCTTTTGAGCAATTTGAGCAGGAATGACAAACTCTTCGTTTAAACCGTAGCATAATTTAGAGATACGTGAAGTGATTTTATCAAAGTGCACGCTTTCCTTGCTGCCGTCTGTAAGTATGATAGATATTAGTCATTTGATAAAATAGATGTGCAGTGTTTTATATTTACCTCTTTTGATGACATACATCATTTTTTTTCTTCAATTCTTTTTTTATATCTAGAGGAGTGGTTTTGATGAAGGCAATAAAGGTCTTAATAGAGAGTAAAGGACCTGAAGGATACCAAGAATAAAGAAAGAAAGAGAGAGAGAGAAGAAGAGGAAGTAGAAAATTAAGACGCGATTATTTAAAGGTCAAAAAATTGTTTTTTTAAAAGACGCGACGCGCTTTTTGACGTCACGTTGAAAAGTTATACTGCGATTGACATATCTCTAATGTATCTATTCAGAGATTATTAATCAAGTACATGGTGCCTTTCATAAGTGGAGATTCGAAAAAAAAAAATTGTATTCAGAGAAACCATGATAAAAAAAAAAAAAAAGTACGATAGCAACAGAATTAGGAAGTTAATTTAAGTCCATTTGCATTCTTTACAAAGACATTATTTGATTATAAAAAGGGGTAATGGATCGTATGGATTCGACTAGATAAACTGGCCAATATTATTCAATAGAAAGGCACATGTTTGTTTTTTTTTTCTTTCTTTCTAAAAGTATGTCATATTCCGTAAGAAGATACTTTATGTTTGCTTAAAAATGAAAATATAGCTCATTCTCTCAGACATGTATTGTATCCATAGAACAATTTGTGGTTTGTGCTTATTGAGTCACCTTTGACTTGTTTAAGTTGTGCAACATGTGTATTCACAAACAATGAATGATCTAAAATATGAATGGAGACATTTCTTTTTGGATGTTCAGACTGGAAATGGTCGAGCAAACTATGATAGAAACCATACAGTTTATCTCACAATGAAATTGTGTAATATCACCTTAACTTTATTGAACAGCTTTCTATCAAAATTTGGTGTAACAGTAGAGTCTTTTAATGCTTCACTAACTTAAGAGGACTGTAACAGACATTGGATCCCTTGTAAACACCTTGTTCAAGGAACACATCACTAGAAGTAAAACCAACCGTAATGTGAGGCCAGAAAGACTATATTATAAACTGTCAAAACAACATGTATAGATGGGACCCATTTCACTTACTTCAGGATCAAAAAGTGCAGTATTACCACCATTCTTTGCATAGATCTTGAAGATTTCTTCACGAATCTTGACAAGGTTAGGTGCACTTACAATGATTTGATATACAATCTTCTCGACACCAGAGACAACAACATCTTCTTTTCCGAGACAAATCACTTTGACTTTGCTGGATTGAATCTTTAAATCACGAGCAATCTTATTTACTTGTTCAATAGTGACATTGGCGGTAGCAAGCACAGCAAATTCAGGCGGTGTAATGACAGTAATATGAGATTCACCTATTAATCTCTATAAGTATTGACTTGAGGAAATATCAGCTTACCTCTGTTAATTAAAGGAACCTTAGTTGAATTGACAGCATCAAAGACAGGTTTGACATATTGAAAATCAAAATTCATGCCCAACCAAGAAGAATTGCCTTTTTTGATTGTCAATTCTTTTATATCTGTGATGTTATCGCTTACCAGCAACATGCTCAATAAAGGGCACTTTTTTAGTATCCAAGATGTTCTTGGAAAGAGCTATATCAGCACCTAATCTTTTTTCTTTAATAAAAATTTTCCTATACGCTATATGCATTCACCTTTCCATGGAACACCCAAAGGGGTTTGTTTTTTGCTAGGTGCAGCAGAAACGCCTAAACTACAAAACGCAGCGCCCAAAAGCAACAAAACAGACTTGATCATCATATTGGTATAAAATAGAAAAAAATACAATAAACAAAGAAAAAAAGGGCTTGCTTTAAATGTTGAAAATCTTTAGCTGTGTAATGTGACCCAATTCTGTCTTGACAACCAATGAGATTGCTTTTCACATAGCATATGGTTAAAAAAGAGAGAGAGGTTTTGATCTGTGCAGCATGATTCAAGCAACGTGTGTGCTCTTAAAGCAATAGCAACAATATTGCCTCGATTTGTTTCTTTTTTTAAAAAAAACAATCAGCAGATTTTTTTTTGAACATAGAATAACCTCGGGAAACTTGAGTATTTCTTTTTTTTTCTCGCTTTGTTGCTCATCTGAAAATCTCGAGATCATGAAGTTACTATTGCTCTTCTTTGCCTTGATCTCGGTTGTTTACTCAGACTATTTTGATATACTAAAAGAGGAATTTGAACAGACACCTACAGGTCGAGTTCGCAGATTTTTTATTACAGCAGAAGAGGAAATTTGGGATTATGCTAGTCAAAGTCAAATAACTGTGCCAGGTAAAACAAGGTTACATGCTTCGTAGGACCAATACATTTACAATCGCGAATAGATATTCATGTTTTGGGCACTCGGTATTACAAAGCATTATACCACGAATATGAAGATGAATCCTATACCAAGAAAAAGAAGCGACCTTACTGGCAGGGAAACATGGGCCCTATCTTGAGAGTCGAAGTAGGCGATGTGATTCAAGTCTTCTTTTGGAACAAAGCGTCGAGGAATTTCACCATTCATCCTCATGTAAGCCATGCCTATGCTTATTTGAATAAATACTCATTCGATTTAACAGGGTATCTTTTATGAATTTGAAATGGAAGGCGCTATCTTTAAAGGATCTTTTGATGACAGTATTGTAAAGCCAAATCACAATTATACTTATACTTGGAATGTATTACCTCGAGCAGGACCTGGGCCTAAAGATGGTAACTCAATTGTTTGGGGCTATCATTCACATGTCACTGAAGCAGATCTGTAGGTAACATTACAAATGTACTAAACTAACAAAGAAACAAAGTTATGCAGGTCTATATGGCGCCATTGTAGTTTACAGACCTGGTACTCTATCTAATAAGGACATAGTTACATCTATTTTCGGTAATTGTGCTAACAGCCTAGACAAAAACGTTAACCAATTTATAGTGACAGACGAAAATCAATCCCCTTATTTACATCAGACAAAATCAACATTATATCCAGATTTCGATTCAACAAAATACAATGACAAACAACTGTATCAAGCAAACCAATTCCATACGATCAATGGACTTGTGTCTTCTTCTCCAAAAGACTTGGTGGTCAAAGTAAACACAACTTGGCATTTGATAGGTTGGGGAACCTACTGGGATATGCGTAACATTCAATGGCAGAATGCGCAGATCTATTGGGACGAAGAACAAGTGGATCATATTCGCATAATGCCTGCTTCTTTTCAGACAGCTATTATTACGCCAAATAGTCACAAAGGGACATATCAGTTTGGCGTTTTGAAGAGTAGCAAAGAGGAAATGGTGATGAATTATATAGCTTCATGAGTTGTTCAATAAAGACGTACTTGTCAGGTCCATGATGTATAACTTGTGTATCAATAACGCGTCATTTATATGCCAACTAGATATATCGTTGTACGAATTGTTCTGTCTTTCACTTGCTACATAATACTGAAGACAGAACTATTAAGTGCCATCAAGTGTCTTTTTAATAAGGTATTTGTATGTGAGTCATCAGTCCGGTAGAGACACCAGGCAAATAGAGGCTTAAACAATCCATACAAAATTTTAAGCATATAAAGGCGCTTCAAGCTTGTGTATGCACGCATAAGTACTCGAAACACTTGCAAACTATGTTTACTAACATCTATGGTACCTTTAGAGTTGATTTGGACACAAAAAAGCGACTTTTAAAATTTGGCCAAAGTGGCCATTCGGCCAAAGGGTATTACCAATGAAAATTGTGAGTTTGACAACTTCTTTTGCTCTTTTCGATGCTAAAGGACGATAAATGGAGCTATCAACAAGTATAAATACTCAAAGTGTACGGCAGAGGCTTTAGTTTTTGACTAATTTGTTTACTGAACGGTTGTACTATAAAAGTGGTATGATAGGAGTGAAAACCATGTGGGCATTTTTGCCTATTTGCTCAATATTTTAGCAGCAATATTGTTGTATTCTTTATATTAGAAGACTCAAAAAGCAAAGATCTACAACTTTTGTCGTTATACCAAAGCCCATAAACTGCATCTTTATGTAGTTCCAAGCAAAAGCCCAATTTTGGATACTTCTCTAAGATTTTATTATTGCTCCGCGTAAAGTTACCCTGGTGACACTCAAGAGACGGGCGCAGTTCATACGGAATTATATCATGCAATTATGCTGCAAATGAACTAGATAGGATAATATGAAAGGAATGCCACTGCTATGAGTGGAAAAAAAATTAAGAGAAGAATTACAGTCTTGTGTGTACTTGCTTTTCATCTGCAAGCAGCTGTAAAGCAGTACATGTTTGTTGTAGAGTAGAGTAGGCATCAAAAGAGACGTTGTCAATAACAAATCTCCAGTGTGCTTTCCAGACTTGCGAGAGGGCGGTAATGATAATGCCAGCAACAGTTAAGTGTTTCTTTCGTGAACAATCTATTCTGGAGAAGTTTAGTGTAACAAGTGCCTGAATAATATATCTTCGACAGTGGTCGTAGGCCAAAGAAATTCGAAAATGAGATTGTTGCAGAAAAACTTCTTTGGCGGACACTAGAAAAGGAGATGTTGTTTCATTTTCAAGATGAATAGTGCAAATTGGACAAAGAGGCGAGGGGAACGTATCAAGAATTATAGAGTGAAGAAATTGTCTTGTGGGTAGCTTGGAAACAAGGAATCGGTACAGCATATTACGAGCAACTGGTAGCAGAGACCATCTCCAAAAATCGAGCCAAAAGGCGCTAGATATAGCTTGTAAGCGCTCTGGAACAGATGTATCTTGAGGAAATCAAATCACTTTCATCTTTTTATTGTTTTCAATTCCCGACTCAAACTCATTTTGTGTGTGCATGATGATATCTTGATGCTTGTCTGATAAGTGCACGGATAAAACCTACACAGAAGACACAATGAAGTTAGATAATACAAGAGAAATCATGTACGTACTACAATTATAAGGGTTAGAAGCTTCAGAAAGAGCTTGATAGTGCTGATCATATGTCATTCTTTGATGAGCTATTTCTCTTCAGCCATACTATGGAAACAACCGCCTTTTTTTTTTAGCTAAAGATATGTTACCTTAGCCATAAGACTCAAATAGTAGCAATAGTTTATAAAAAAGCATCTTTTGATCCATGGATGAGAAATATCAGACTTCCTCTTTTTGATCAAGCGGCTTAAAAAAGCAATCAGGTTTCATCTAAAGTCCGGCCACCTTTTTTATTTCAAAGCGATTGTATACGTGTTCTTCTTCTTTTACTTGACAAATAATTATGTTTGAAAAGTCCTTGACTGACCTTATACGAGGTATCAGGGCCAACAAAAAAAACGAGCAAAAATACATTGCTGCTTGCTTACAAGAAATTCGTAATGAAGTCAAGTCTAATGATCTCGATATAAAGTCAAATGCTGTTGCCAAATTGACCTATGTAAAGTTATACGTGTTTCTTATAAAGAACCCTTTTTTTTTCTGATGTTTATTGCTAGCTTCATATGCTTGGTTATGATATGTCCTGGGCCTCTTTTCATATGGTAGAAGTTATGTCTAGTTCAAAGTATACCCATAAACGTACAGGTTATTTAGCAGCTAGTCTTTCCTTTCAACAAGACACAGACGTGCTCATGTTGACTACAAATTTGATCAAGAAAGATTTGGCTGCCCCTTCTGTGGTTGATATCGGTACAGCCCTCAGTGGTCTTTCCCATATTGTCACACCAGATTTAGCTAGAGATTTATCCCCTGATTTAGTCAGCATGTTAAACCACTCTCGGCCTTACATTCGAAAGAAAGTTGTACTAGTACTCTACAAGATCTTCCTCAAGTTCCCTGAAGCATTACGTTTGAGTTTCCCTCGTCTTAAAGAAAAGTTGGAGGATCCTGATCCATCTGTTGTCTCGGCTGTCGTAAGCGTTGTTTGTGAACTAGCCCGTAAAAATCCCAAAAATTATTTGTCACTTGCCCCTCAATTGTTTAAGCTGTTGACCACTTCGTCCAATAACTGGATGTTGATCAAGATCATCAAGTTGGTAAGTATTAAGCCTCATAAAATCACAGAGATTAAGTCCTGTTGTAGTTTGCTTCTTTAACCCCTCTTGAACCAAGACTCATTAAGAAACTATTACCTCCATTGACTTCCTTGATTCAAACAACGCCTGCGATGTCTCTGTTGTATGAATGTATCTATACTGTCATTACAGGCGGATTTTTAGAAGCTGCAGGCGATGCAGGTAATGCTTTAGCAGCTACTTGTACAAACAAGTTGCGTCGATTCCTCGAAGATCCTGATCAAAACCTGAAATATGTGGGTTTGTTGGCTATGGGAAAACTACTGGCTACCCATCCCAAACTTGTTGCTGAACATAAAGACATTATCTTGGAATGCATTGACGATGAGGATATCAGTATTCGCTTACGTGCTTTGGATTTAGTGGTAGGCATGGTTAACCGCAAGAACATTATGGATATTGTCAAACGTTTGATTGTACACATTATGCCCAAGGATCAATTTTTGCATCACCAACAGGAATCATTGCATGATTCTTCTACTATTTTTGACCCTGCTTATCGTACAGATATCATTCACCGTATCATATTTATGTGTTCGCAAAACCATTATCACTACATTCATGATTTTGAGTGGTACTTGTCTGTGCTGGTCGACATTACTTATGCTGCTGGTGTGAATGTGGGCGATATGTTGACAAATCAATTGATGGATGTCAGTGTGCGAGTCAAGAGTGTACGAGAATACTCTGTAAAGCAAATGTATCATTTGCTACAAGACAAACAGTTTTTGGAAACAGCTAAAAAACGAGATGCCAACATTGAAGTCTTGTCTGCTGCTGCATGGATCTGTGGTGAATATTGCAAGTAAATTTTTTTTTTGTCATGACTATCTCTGTGTACTCATAGAACTCGACTAGTTATTTAGAAGACATTCCCTCTACACTCGAATGTTTGTTGACTCCTCAAGTAACAAAGTTGCCTGTCAAGGTACAGACTATCTATGTTCATAGTGTGATCAAAATCTTTGCTTACTGGACAACTGAACTGATTCCTCAATGGAATGCTGAACTCCAAGGCGAATTCATCAAAGTAACTCAGGTGATGCATGATAAAATGGACATGTTTACTCACAGTGCTGATTTGGAAGTGCAAGAGCGGGCTTATGATGTCAAGTCTTTATTTGCTTTAATTCTGGATGCAGTTCAGAGCAGCACAGATCAAGTTCCTTCTGTGCTTGAGGGTTTGCCTGAATTGTTCTTTATTTATGAATTGAACCCCGTGGCGCCTAAGGCTCAATCAAAAGTGCCTGTGCCTGAAGGTCTTGATTTAGATGCTTGGATCAATGAACCCTTACCTGATTTAATTCAAGACTTGGATTCAGATGATGTTGAAGAACCTAAACATGTCTCTGTTCAAAAGAAGCATCGTAAGAAAAAATCAAGCAAGTCTGCCCATTATGAGAGCAGCCAAGACGAAGAAGAGAAAGAAAAGGTAAAATACATACACTTGAATCAAGCTTACACATAATCATTAGCGCCGTGCTATCAGAAGAGAAGCTCGCAAGAATGATCCTTACTATATTGGTGGTGATACAAGCAACAGAAAACTTTTGGAATTGGACGACAGTGACATTGAATCGATTCCCGTGGTAGAACTAAGCTTGGATGATATTAAGAAATCCAGTACTGCTAAGAAATCATCCAAGCGCTCTGCTAAAAAGCCTGTTGCTCGTCCTGTTTATGCTGAAGAAGAAATGCCTGAAGATGCCGTTGTCTCTGACGAAGAAAAACAAAAGAAGAAAAAGAAGGGTGTTGTCTACACTAAAAAGTCTACTCGTGATATCTTTGAGAATAATGAAGAACAGGGCTTGAATAATGTTGACTTGAACACACCTTTGGGTGAAGATGAAAAGTTCCAAGCTCCTCGGACTTATCTTAGCCCTGAAGAACTTCGCTTAAAGGAAGAAGCTCGCTATAGAGCTGAACGCAAACAACTCAAAGCACTTCAGGTATTTATTTTATAGAAACAATTGGATGAATTCATGACATTTAAACAGAGAAAGAACAAGGAAGTTTTGGAAATTAAAAAGAAATCAACCAAGTCTTCTTCTTCTACTACTCAACCAGAAAAGAAAAAGAAAAAGAAGTCCACAAGCAAAAAATCTGCCAAGGTAAGATGGATCCAAATGAATAACATTGTAGCTGACATAATGCAATAGCAAAAGCAAGAAGAAGAGGAGCAAAAGTTGGCAGAAGAAGATTTATCTGTCAATGCGGAACAAGTACGGGATGTAGTCAATCAAGAAGAAAATCGCCACTTAAAGCCTATCCAAGTCTTCAGTGATGATCAGATTTCTTTAGTAAGATATACATGTAACAAAAAACATCATACTGACAAGAGAAAATAGATGGCCACATTGAGTTTACTTGATCAAGAAACACCTACCATTTCCATTCAATTTGTGATGGAAAACAAGAGTGCTGAAACAATGCTTCCTAGTGCTCATATGGAGTTTGCACAGTCCTTTGATTTAACCTGGGTTGAAAACACAGATACCAATGTTGCATCTGCTACTGAGCATTTTGAATTACAAGCTAATGAAAAGGTCGAATCAAAGGCTTGTTTTGAAGTCAAGGGCAATGCTAGAAAGGGGCTTTGTCTTCGTGGTGATTTGTTTTATGATGTAGAGGTAAATTTAGTTTGTATAGTGATATTGAAATAACCACTTTATGTCTAGAATTCATCTGCTCTGCATCAAAATGCCTTTGAATTACCTATACCTGTCAGTTTATTCTTGTTACACGATGCTTTGATGGATCCTAGCGTATTTGCCAGTATGCTAGCAGAGCGTGGTAACGAATTTGAATACCATGCTCATATCACCATTGATGTGCCCCTTTCCAAAGAAGAGTCGATGCAAGATGCTATTATTCGTGCTTTCGAGATTGTCACACGTACTTCTGGTCTAGCTGTCGTGGAAGTGATTGCTGGTGCTGCTTCATTGTATGGTAAAAGTATTCAAGGTGTCCAAGTGGCTGGTTTGCTTAAATGCAACTTGCAAACAGAACAAGAATCTGCTAATTTAGATATTGATTTAAAGAGTACAGAAGAAGGATTGTTAGAAGGCTTGGTCTATGAATTAGAAAATGTACAAGTAGTGTAAAATAAACTATTTTTTTGGACTGCATTGTTCGGGGTTAAGAAAATAAGGGGAAAGAGTAGATCTTGATTGTAATCTTTCTTTTTAGTTTACTTTCTTTTGGACGCGATGGCAGCTTGGAGTAGTTTGCCTGTAGAGATATTAGAAAACATTTTAAAGCACTTGACAGAAAAGGATGCTTTCCAATGTCAATTAACGTGTCGAGAATGGGAAAAGACATCTTTAAAAGTAGCATATACCTATGTTCACTTGTTCAACTCACACAAACTTAACTGCTTTATTCGGACCATAAAAGAATCCCCCAAATTACCTGGTATTTATGTCAAGAGATTACTTTTAAGCAACCGCTTTGGCAATACAACAAAAAATTGGGACACGTATAATCGATTTTCAATGTTAGTTAAGCACTGTCCTAATGTAGAAGTCGTTATTTTGATACCTTCTTGTGTTCCCTTTTATTCACAAGTCATGAGAGAGCGTTATGAAGGCAATTGGAAGAAGCTCAATTCTATCAATCCACCTACTTCTCCAGAAGAAATCGAATATTATAACACCACCATCTTATCCATGCAAAAAAAGATCAAGAGTATTACCATTTGCGATCAAACAGCATACAGTCCATTTGATCTAAAGAATACAGAATACAAAAACATAATTGAAAAACTAGGCGACTTCTCTCAACTTACAAACTTAAATATTATTCGCCATACAAACGAAGCATTGTATGAATTTGACCGTATTATCGATAAGTGTCCCACTTTAAAAGAACTCTCAATGACACTCTATCCTTTTGAAGAAGCACCTGTAAGCTCCGGTCGTATGCCCGATAAAATTACACCCAACAAGAACATCACAAAATTTGTTGTGCGACACCCTATCCGTTCAGAAAAAACAATAGAATACATTATGGACAAGTTTCCCGACTTGGAGGTGCTTGATTTAGATGGTCATTTTGAAAATGCACCTCTACTAGAAATGATCAGTTTAGCTCCCGCCATCAGCAATGAATTATTAGAGCGGTTGACTAAATATGCCCAAGAGAGGAGTCTCTGTACTTTAAGACATTTCTTTGCACAAAATATGGGACACGTTGTACGCTATTTGTCCGGTATTTTGGCAGATGGCCATTTGACTATTCGATTTGTGGTTGAAGACTTTATTGATGACATTGCTTACTGCAGTCTTGATGCAACGATTGCTAAGCAGATTAGTTATATTAAATTAGAATCCAAGAGTTGTAATCTCACCCTTCCTTTCTTAAATGTGCTTGAAGAAGGTGGAAGTTTATTACACGACTTGTTCCTTATCAATGATGGCAATATCTATCCTGATTCAGCAAGAGGTGACGCTGATTTCGAGAGCTTAGTTGCAGGTTATTATCTCGATCGCATCTTTGAAAGCTGCTCTTGTTTAGACACTCTTTGGCTTGAAAAGACCTTACTTATCTACTGTAGGCCAAATGCAGGCAAGAGCCAAACTATAAGAGAGCTGCGCCTAAGAAAGTGTCATATATTTGCTCCTGTCTACTATCAACTTTCTATCCGTCTACCAAACCTAAGAACACTTTATGTAGAAGACCCAGTATCGGTCAATCCTGATGGCAACAAAAAGACAGACAAACGCCTCAACTTCTTTTTCGATATGCCCTATTCTTCTCTTGATAACTTGACATTGAAAGCTGAAAAGAATGCGCCTGAGACCAATACGTTCTTTCATGTCAAAGTGAGTACAATGTCTGGTGACTTTTACTACCGAGGAGACTATGTCAGATTGATGCCTACAACCCATGCAGAATACAAATTGCTTGTATCGAGTCCTATGAACTTGACTATTTGTGTTCGATGTAAATCACTTCAGAAAATTACTATTCATGGTTGGGGTTTATTTAATACGTATGATATTCCTTGGTTTTAATAAATGTATACAGTTTCTTTTTTCTTTTATTAAATCTGCTTCCCTTCCCTTTCTCTTTCTCTATTTAAATACACAATCTGTAACTAACATAACGACCAGCAGTTTCACTTTCTCTCAAGATTTTGACAACCTATTCATAAAACGCGTCAAATTAACGCGTATGGCTCATTTATCTTACCTGTCCACGCTTCAAACCATAATATCTAGCAACAGGATCAGAGTGTTGAATACGAGGTAATTGAGTCTCCTTTAAACGGCTAAATGACTTGTTAACTATACAGACATCATTCTTGTTGATACTTACTATCTTTGTAATAAGGTGGCCTTTTCATCTGTAGTCAAGACTTCGTGCTTAGGAACCAAAACATGGTGTGTAATGTTGACTAATAGTTCGTTTTCTTGGAAGGATTCTAATGTATGCTTTGAAGGTAATGATTGAATGACCTTGTTGGCAGAAGAGGTCATGTTTTTTTGATAGATACAGATACCCTTGGGGATTTGTTGTTGTGCCATACGTTCAACATACCTATACATAATTAGCATTGGTCTATAGGCTATGTACTTACACTCTCAAAGGCTTCACACCCACAGAAGGATCTTTGGGGAAAAAGACGAGTAATTGATCAGTAGGATCGTCTTTCTTTTGAACTACAAAAGTCAATTGATCACGACTACATACAATTTAGTCTTTGGCTAGTGTCGAGATTAGACTTACTCGACATCACCAGAAGGAGCAAATGTACGTTTGAAAGACTCCAAGTCCATATCGAGTTCTGCTTGAGTGACAGCATAGCCCTAGAGATGAACATGTCAGCATAAAATGTCGATTCTTATATGCGTGCTCATATTTACTCTATCATGCACCATTTGGTGTGCAGTACGGTAAACTCTCCATAATCTGGTGGCCTCGTTGTTATTGGGATCCATAGTGAATAGTGTCTTTAGAGAAAAAAAAAAGAAGGTTATCCAATTTTTTTTTCAAGAAGATTACAAACCGCGACGCAAGAGCAGTCACAAGCATTGCTAGCCATTAGCCACTGGTATGTATTGCTTTTAGAGATTCTACAAAGGTCAACAAAGACGAAACAGACGCCCTTATTGGTTGTGGGGCATACATAGATGAAAAACTACAGCCTAGATCCATGACATTATCTATTCAATGTGCGAAATGAGTCCAAATTATGCAGTAGATTTCAATAAATAGTGTCACTGTACGACAACACGAATGCCACACTAGAAGAAAGGATTTCAATGCATGTCTACATGTAGTGTATAGCTATCAAGGCTTGCTCAAGAAACTTGATATGACCATTCCATGTATGGACTGCTTTTCCTTCGTGGATTCTAGATACGAAAACAAAAGGGAGCGCCGCTACTTTGATCTGTTCACAAAAAAACCCAGCAAACAAATTCGTTTACCTTTTACACTATTATGCGACTCTCACTTGGGTTCGTATTTGCTTTATTGGCATGTCTCCAAGTATTTGGTCTCTATTTGTTCCTTAAGGGTTTCCTGCTCACCCGTCAAATGTTTGACTTGAAGGGCCAAACATATCCTTCTTGGGATCGCTTTCCTCTGAGTCAGTCTTCACAAGTGCACTCGTCATTTAAACCACCTACCAGCATACCGGCTAGTTTGCCCTTTAAGCGTGCCATCGTCATTGTGATTGATGCATTACGATTTGACTTTGTGATTCCCAGTAATAACTCGCATGATCCTTATTTCATCAACCAATTTCCAGTTCTCCATGACCTTTATACGTCCAAGTCAGCACTTTTGTACCAGTTTCGTGCAGACCCGCCTACCACCACAATGCAACGCGTTAAGGGACTTATGACAGGCTCATTGCCTACATTTATTGATGCAGGATCGAATTTCGCCTCATCAGCAGTAGGAGAAGACCATCTCTTGTACCATATAAAGCAGAACTATCCCAACATCTACTTTATGGGTGACGATACTTGGGTCAACTTGTTTCCAGAAGTATTCAATCAAGCCAATCAAACCTATGACAGTGATAGCTTCAAAATGCTTGATTTAGACTCGGTTGACAATGATATCCTGTCCCATTTATGGCCTACTGTCAAAAGAGACGATTGGCAATTACTCCTGGCTCATTTCTTGGGCGTAGATCATTGTGGTCATACCTATGGTCCTTCTGATCCCAACATGCAGCGTAAATTGAACCAAATGAATAGCGTGATTGAAGAATTACTGCCTTTTGTTGATAAAGACACATTGCTCGTTATTATGGGTGATCATGGCATGTCTGTTGAAGGAGATCATGGTGGCGAAAGTGTTGAAGAATTGATGAGTACCTTGTTTTTGTATTCTGGTCGCCCCTCATTCAAAGACGAGTACATGCAACAATTTTCCCGTCGTATTCACCAATCGCGAGCAGAGAAACTTGACTATGATATAGACAGTATTTCAAAACGACTTTTGTATAATGCAAAAGAATATCCTATCGTAGCTCAAATTCATCTTGTGCCTACTTTAGCCTATTTGCTTCAAATTCCTATTCCCTTTGGTAATCTTGGTGCAATTCTACCTGATGTATTGCATCCTTTACATCAAGGCAAGAACCGACTTTATCATCTTTTACATATGGTTGAACAATTCAGAACAAATGCACTACAAGTGTATGACTATCTTGATCAATATGCTCAACAAACAAGCCAACTAGACTTTTCTTTCTCAAAACTAAACCCTCTAAAGCAACATTTATATAGAGCAGAGTCTATCATGTTATCCCTCTTACAAGAGCCTAGTTTCTTGACTGATTTAGAATCAGACTCACCTTCTTCCTTAGATGCTTTTACTCTGCAGTTGGAAAAAGCCATTTTTGCGTATGATACATTTCTCATTAGTACTATCAAATATTGCCAGAGTATTTGGGCTCAATTTGATACTGGATGCATGTTGCTTGGTGTGATAATTTTGGGTCTTGGTACACTGACTTCCTTCTGCCTATTGAATCAACCTACTGTTTCTTCAACATCCATCTTGAAGGTCGCTTTACCTGTATTATCTGTTGGTTTGCTCATGGTCTATGCTCGCTATTCTGTGTTAGATGATCTTGTGATGAGCAAAGGCTGGTTTGAAAAGATGGACTTTGTCGATTGGATAGGTGCCAGTGTTGCCATTGCTATCTGTAGTTCTCTCTTGGTGATCAAACCCCAAGCAACTACAAGCCAATTCTGGAATAAGCTAGATTGGCCTCTGTTAATCTTAGCTAGTATTGTGCAGTCATTTACATTAGGCTCAAATAGCCTTGTAATTTGGGAAGATCGTGGTACTTTATTTGTATTGGGTGTACTCTGCATCTTTTGGATGGTTCGTAATTTGACTTCAATCCCTCAATTCAGTTTTGTACAAGTCATATTAGCTATAATTTTTCCTATGGGCTTGTTGACATTGGCACGTATAGCTAGTTTTACGGGTCAATGCCGTGAAGAGCAATTTCCTCATTGCAACTACTTTCACAATGGCCTTCTCATATTCGAACATAGCAATGAAGGCTACATGTCCATTGCACTCTTGGTTGTGACTTTTACTCTTCTCGTCTATTTTGGTGCTCATCTGGGCCGCATCACCAACATGGTTGTCGGTGGTGTATATCAAATCTCGAGCATCATTGTGTTTTATCGCACTGTGTACGAAATTTTCTCCAAGACATTAGACACAGGAGTAGAAGAAAAGACAGAGCTTGCTCTTATGATTCAAAAATACGTTGAAATCTATCTTCCTCGAGGTGTTTATGGCTTGTTCTTCTTTGGTGTGCTCCTTGCTTTTATCCAGCTTTATTATTATAGTCCAGGACAAGAAAAGCGTGCAAGTCGTATGTGTTGGACATTGTTTATTTTAGCCACACCTGTGCTTGCCCTGCTTCAACGTCCTCTTGGTTCTGCTATCATTCTAGGCTCACCTTTCTTGATTGAATTGCTTTGTCAAGGCGCTCCTTCTAGTCTTCTGATTCGTTTGACGATCCTTCATTTCTTGGGTCACCACTTGTTCTTTACGACAGGACATCAAGCTACATTTACTTCGCTACCTTGGAAAGCGGCTTTTATTGGGTTCCAAGACATGCATTATTATACTGGCATGGTTCTTGTCACACTCTCTACAGTTGCTGGCTATATATTAACATGGTTAGGATGGTCTGTCATTTTGCTAGAGACTATGGAAGAACACAAGGCACAAGTCAGCAAGGAATGTTTACATCTCTTGACTTTGTTGCATTTGATTCCTACTTTTCTGTGTGCTGTTTTTGTATTTGTACTTAGACGTCATTTGATGACTTGGAAGATCTTTGCACCACGCTTCTTATTTCAAGTCTTGTTACAGGTTGGAGCTCATGTTGCTGCTATCATTTCAGAAAGATTTTTGTAAATATACATAATTTATTATTTCTAACTTAAAAAAACAAAAGGAATGGAGAGGGCATACATGACATAAAAACATAATCATATCCTAATCGTCTTCATGATAACGAGAAGAAGATGAGTGTGATGGATAAAGCGTAAATGAGGAAGAAGGAGAAGGAAAAGCTGTACTATGAGATGGTCTTTCACGCATCAGCTGTTCCAGTCTTGTCTCATTCTTCTCAACCACAAGTGCTTTTAACCACTTGATTTCACGCTCCAGTTCATGCACTTTACTTTCCATCATTTGAGCTTTTTCAGTCATTTCATAAGCAGTCTTTTGCAATGCTTGTTCTCTCATTTTCTTTTTGATACGAAAACGAGCAGAAGCAGCTGTATTTCTTCTTCTTTTATCATCTTTTGTTAAGGTTGATTTCTTTTGTGAGTTTTGGCTGCCGTTACTTCCTATACTACTAAAGCTAAGAGCACCATCGCCAATCACAGGCCTATCTTCATCTTTGTCACTCTCATGTTGATCACTTTCTTCGTCTTCCTCCATGTCTTCTTCGTTTTTAGAAGTTGACTTTTTTGCAGAAATAGATTCCTTTTGTTTGCCTTTTCCTTTATGATCATTGAGTAATGAATCAATCGAAAAAGTGAATGTCGTATCCCCCAGTTTAATTGTTCTTGTGGCTGTCATTTCCTGCAGCATGTTGTGTTGAGTCAACATATCAACATCAAGTGGTTGCTTTTGTGGCGGTTGTGGTTTTTTGCCCTTGTTACCCACACTATTTTTTCGAAAACGGAACTGCTGTTCTTTCTGAGTTGCTGCTTTTGTCTTTTTAGGAGCAGTATCAGTGTCATTGTTTGTATTCAGAACAGGCGAGGTAGGTGTGGCAAATAATGTTGCAAATCGATCTGAATGGTCATTGGATACCTCGCTTTGTTCTGAAGAGAATGGGTTTATAGAAGGCATGCTTCTTCGATGCACAGGTGAAGAAGAGGATTCTGTGGGATATAATACATCCCTTTGCTGTTGTTGTGAATCTATAGGATCGTGCATGACAGGCTCTTTATCATTCAATAAGTATGTCATAACTGGTTTTATGATGTTTACCATGCCCTAATAGCATATCCATATTTGATGAAGACGGTCTTTGCTGTTGTTCAAGAAACAAAGCTAAATTATTCAAGGTTTGTTGATTCATAGGTTGACTGTTACTTCGATACGGACGTTGAGGAGCTAAAAGAAAAAGAAAGAATTAGATTTGCCTAGATCAAAGCCTTTTTTTTTTTTACCCTGGAAATTGTTAGTTTCAAGAAAGGCTGCATGATTTATGTTTAGTGTTGGAGTCACAAGAGCGTTTTCATCAATGGTGTCGTTGGCATATCTGAATTGAGTATTGGCATAAAAATCAAGTTCATGCTGTAGCTCATTCCCTGTCAAAATTTGTGTAGGGGCCATCATTTGATTCAATACTTCTAAATGAGCCCATGTTGTTGAGGATCTATCCTTTGTCTGCTTATCTTCATTATCTTGTTGCCCTTGATCTTTTGACTGTGTCATTGAAAAAAAGGGAAGAAAAGAAAGAAAGAAAGAGAGAGAGAGAGGGAGAGAGAGAAAGGGAAAAAAGGGACCAGAAAGGAATAACGTCATATTGTGAATTGAAGTTTTCTGATATCTTTAAAGGTTCTTTGTTGATGAACAAACTTTGTATTACCCTCAATTATAGAAATGTCGCAATAAGTGCGAGATAACTGCTGTGAATCGCGTCATTTTTGTTTCTCCGTTTCAAAGTGCAGTTTTATTGATTATGCCAAAATTCCAAATCTTGACTTCGCCGTCTTCAGCACCAGAGACGATCTTTGTATCACTTAGCGCCACAGTCGTTACTGGACCATGGTGGCCTACTAAAGGATAGAGACAGCGGCCTGTTTCTGTATCCCAGACACGTATTGTCTTATCATGAGAGCCAGACACAATCCGAAGCTTATCAAAATCAAGGGCCCAAATACCTTGAACATGGCCAAACAGTGTGCGAACACAATTGCCTGTAATAGCATCCCATATCTTGATCGTATTATCTAATGAACTAGAGACAATGGTGGGGTTATTGTTACGTTTAGATAAGAGCTCATCATTTGAAAACACTTGAACATTATTGGGTGCGGTAGCATTATCGATGATGGTTTTAGTACAATCAGATGCGTTGATTGGATGTTGCGACTTGATAAGTTGTGGTGTAAACCCATGTATGCTAGGAAGAGCCACTTGCACTTGTCCAACATGACCGCGATAGACCCTGACACATGCACGCTGCTGAATATCCCACAATCTGACAGTGGCATCGTCACTACTAGAGACAAGCATGTTACCTTCATGACAAATACGGACAGAATTAACCCATTCGGTATGTCCTATTAAAGTACAGCATTCACCCAGCTCAAAATTCCAAACACGAATGGTGCGATCCGTAGATCCGCTTGCCAGAATACGCGAATCAAAATGGAGACTCAGAATGCCACCTGTATGACCTTCAAGCGTACGAATACATTGCCCAGTTTGGTAATTCCAAATTTTAAGTGTGTTGTCCATAGCACCAGTGATGGCTTTGCAGTCATCGAATTGAAGTGCTCGGACACAACGGGTGTGACCCTCTAGTGTACGTATGCATGCTCCTGTTTCAAGGTCCCAGACACGCACTGTTTTGTCAAATGAACCCGTCATAACCAGCTTAAGTATTTCGTCAAATTGAACACACATCACGCCATTTGTATGTCCTTGTAAGGTAATAACGTTGTAAGCATGATTTCGCCAATTACGTTCTACAATCGATCGTTCACTATAGACGTCTTTCCATGGTCTTTTATGCGGTGTAGTCTTAATCCGCTTCTTTTTAGGTGGCTCTTGAACATCTTGTTTTAGAGGTCCGCATGCAGTTTGAAGTGGTGAAGGTCTCTTTCGAACAGCATTGGAGCGAGTCTTGTCAAGAAGGGGTAGTCCCCATCCGCATTTGGCACATTTTTTATCAATGTGTTGCTCACACATACGGTGCCACAATGCATCATCGTCTGCTAATGATTTCCATGTCTGAGAGACTTGAGCAGCATGACAGAGTGTTTTAGCATCCAAATGTGAAAAGATAGTCATAGAGACTTCTCTAGGTAAAATAGACACAAAGTCAATACGTAATAAAGGTTTTGTAACGTTGTGCAGGAATGAAAGCTGTGGCATGCAACATGTTGAAACAAGTCCTTTCAGAATCAAAAGTCGTTGATCTGCTGGTGCTGCTGAAAATAAAGACCAAATATGCGATATGGCTTCTCTGTCTGCTGTCTCTAGCTTTTCTAATTGCTATCAAAGCATTATATAAAAATTATTTTTTGTATTGATTGTTGCTTACAATTTGAGTTTGTAGCAGATCAAACTCATCAGGGCCACAGTTTTTAACCAGGTCTGGTCGGTGTCGATAGCATAGTTTCTGAACATTGCTGATTTGTGATGGTACATGGCGGGTTAAAAAGGGGTGCAAAGGTTCTTTTTTATTCATTTGATAATAGTAAGAGAAAAAGAAAAGAGGAAGAAATGAAGGAATCCTTTTTGTTTGATTTTAAAAGGAAAAATGGACGTTGTACAAACTTTTTTTTTTTTTCGTTTTGTAACGTTACTGACAGCGTTTATTCTTATCAGATGTCATAGCTTCATGTCATGTCACTAAGTTTTTTTTTTTTTTTTTTTTTTTTTTTTTTTTTTTTTATCAACAAGCAACTGTTTGTGGTTTATTTTTTTAAAAAAATTTCACAAGTGAATTCCCCGATATGTCTCCTTGCTTTACTAACAAAAGTTGTCAATGTAATGATTGTGAATCACTCAAAAGTAAGTAGCCAATAGGAATTTCTGTTCTCCTTATTTTTTTTCTTCGTTGCATAGACTACTTGTTTTCAAGATATCTATAAAATCATGAGTAAAGGGAACACTATATGTGGTTTAAAGAAATGCTTTATAAGTTTGCTTTCAGACTTGTTCTTGACAAGTACAAAACTATTTTTTTTTATAAATAATTGAAATGATGTTTTTCTATGCATTTGAAATATCAAGTAAGCTATACTTGTTTTTATGTTCTTCTCTATCAAAAAGCTATTTATGTTTCACTGCTCTAATCTTGTACATGTCTATCAATATTTCATTGTTGACAACATAATGATGCTATAAAACGAGGCCCATGTTAAGACAAATAGACTGTTCATTATGGTCTATCCTTTGCTTGCCTTTGTATTCTATCTTGCTTGGGCCCAAGCAAGACCGACCAATTTTACACTTCATATCAAATCAGCTCTTATTAACCCAGACTGCTTTAATCAGTCTTATGCTGTCCTGATTGTCAATGATCAATTCCCTGCCCCTGCCTTACATATGGTCAAGAACGACATCGTTCATTTAACTGTCAGGAACGATGTGGACAACAACGTTACAACCAGTATTCATCTACACGGTATTCGACAACTTGAAAGTAACTGGGCAGATGGTGTGGCTGGTATTACTCAATTGGCTATTCTTCCTGGCCAAGAATTCACAAAAGCCTTTCAGGTAGTTGATCAGTCAGGTACATTCTATTATCATGCTCATGTAGGCACTCAAGATGATACTGTCCAAGGTCCTTTGATTGTCTATGAATCTGAAGAAGCACTAAAGCAACATGTCTCGGATGGCCCTTATCCCTATGACGGTGAGCATATCCTGAAATGGAGTGAATGGTGGCATCAATCCATGTATGATAGAGAAGACTACTATATGAGTCCCACATTTACAGCAGACGGTGGCCCTGATAGTATCCTGTTAAATGGTCAAGGTGTTTATCCAGGCAATCTCTCAGAGAACTGTAGAGGCTTTGCTTACTTTGATGTTGAACCCAACAAGGTCTATCGTCTTCGTCATATTGGTGCCTTGACATTTAGATTACTTGATATCACTATTGCTGGTCATGACATGGAGCTTATAGAAGTCGATAATGAGTATACAGAACCTTATCCTATTAAGTCACTTGAAATCACTGCTGGTCAGCGTATGTCTACCTTGATTCGAACAGGAAATTATAGTGCTGGCTCTCTTTTCCCTATTCTTTCTCAATATAAATATCGTTTTGATCCGCTGAATCCTGGTTACACTCAATCTGGCTATGGCTACCTTCGCTATGTGGATCCTAAAGACAAAAAAGATATTTGTATCATGGATAGACCTGAACCTTTAATGCCCTACAATGCTACAGATGTTATCCCTGGTTGGGTTTTGCCTCAAGTAAAGCCTTTTGTTTCCGGAGATGCCAAGATTCTAAACGCAACAGCAGACTATACTATTCAGCTGAATATGCAACAAGTCTTGTTACCAGACAATACGACTCGATTTATTAATAATGGCCGCCCTTATGTTCATTTCCCTTGGGGAACAGCAAATGCTTCTTTACTTGATATCATAGAAGATGATCCAGAAATAGGTGAATTGGAAGCATTCGATGGCTTCTCTACCAGGCATTACATGTATCCTGTCTTTCAAAACAAGGTTGTTGATTTTGTCTTTCAAAACCATTATTCACCTCCACCTGCTCCACCTGGGCTTTGTATCCTTCATCCTTGGCATATCCATGGCTTTTCTCATTATTTATTGGCTGAAGGTGCTGGCGACTATAATCACGAGACTGATAAAGATCTAGTTACATTTGAAGCACCTTTGCTTAAAGATGTCAGTCTTGTTTATCCCCGTGCCCTTAATGGTTCCACAGGGTGTGGATGGACAAGAGTCCGTATTTTTACAGTAAGTAAGAAATTCGTTCAATGGAAATCATAACCATGCTTAGGATAATCCTGGTGTCTGGGCTGTTCATTGCCATATCACTGCACATATGCTTCAAGGCAAAATGACAGTTTTACGAGTTCATAAGTGACTTGATTATTTTTTTTTATAATTTCTTTTTCTTTTTCTCTTTTATATCATGTCTCAAGTCTTACCTATTGATAAAAAACAACTTCGAGCTTGTTTATTATGTTCTTTAATAAAGGTATACTTGGTAAAATTTAGAATACAAGTTGCTTATTTACAAGTCAACTGCTTAGAATGCTTCTCAGTTTCGAGCTAATGGTTGTGAAAATTGTGAAGACATCTTGCAAATGAGAGGCAGTATGGATCGTGTCTCTGAATGTACAAGTGGGAAATTCGAAGGGTATAGATGAGCAAATAATAACTGTATCTTATGTTTTGTATAGTGTGATAGCTTTAATGCACCCAAGAGATAGTTGGGTAGCAAGGTGGCAACGCATTGATAAATTTCAAAAAGGCGTATATGCTATTGTAGTGTATGGCAGAGTACCAGAAGATGTGGAAGACGAATTAGATCGACGCGGAATTACATATAGACCAAGAGATGGCAGTGTAAAAGATTAAGCGCGTTTTATATAGTTTATTATAAAGAAAAAGAAAAAAGAGACTTTAACATCCTACACTTTCTGTTGAATCATTAGGATGTTGCCAATTCATTAGAGAGTTTTGTTGCTGCTGCTGTTTGTCATGAAATGAGTTATTGGTATCTGTATTATTATCACGAATAAGATCGACAAGCGTAAATTGTTCTTGATGTATAAAGGATTCTATTGGACTGCTATTATTGCCATATCTAGATTCACGTCTTTCATGCGTCTTTTTATGCTGTGCTAAATTGTCTGATCGACTAAAAGCCTTTAAGCAACCTGGAAAATTGCATTTAAAAGGCTGTTCTTGAGTATGAATGCGTGTATGTCTTTTGAGATGTTCTAAACGACGAAACCTTTTATCACAATTAGGATGTGTACAAGCATGAGGCTTTTTGTCTTCTTCAACCTTTATCTTACTAGAGGGTGTTGGGCTATAATTAGAATCTTGCGGATATTGGTTGATAAATGAGTCCTGTTCCTTGGGTAATAGTGCATAAGAACTAGAGTAATAAAACTCCTTTTCTTCTTTCATGATAAATGAGGAACTCGTAGGAGTAGCTGCTGAAGAAGAAGTAGAAGTAGAGGAAGACGCATGAGGATCTTGTTGCTGTTGTTGTTGTTTTTGTCGAGCGAATGCTTTCTTTTCATGGGTGCGATAATGTGCATGAAAATTATCGGATCGACTGAATCGCTTACCGCATCCTGGATGGGGACATACATGAGGTCTTTCCCCGGTATGGACTAGCATATGACGCTTCAAGTGTTCAAATCGTTTAAAGCTCCATGAACATTCAGGAAAAGTACATGCATGTTTATTTTGTTTGGTAGGTTGCTTTCTGCTGCCAGAAGAAGCGGATTTGGTTCTGTTGTTTATCAATACAGAAGAGCGTTGTGTATTATTAGGCATTTGAGAAGTAGGAATAGGGCTTTGAAGGTTATAAGGTGGGTACATAGAGTGTTGATTTATCCAAGGATCAATTGGATAGGATGGACGATGATAATGATGATAACTTAAATCAGTAGAATGTCTTTTGTCATAAGGATGGTGTTGAGAAAGAGCAGGCGTAAGGGGCGGTGAAAGAACATGATTTTCATGATGAGGAGGACAAAGAGAGGTTCTTCTTGAAACAGGATCAATGCAATAGTTGTTTGTATTTGAATTCATTGTTGAAAGGAAAGAAGGAAAGAAAGAAAGCAAAAAGAGATACAAAAAAAAAAGAGAGAAATCTGTTGTTCTTTAAGGGCTTTTTATGTAATCAACTAGGGCGATCGATATTGGGCTTACGCCTATATATAGTCATATTACTTTTCTTTTTCTGCATGGGATCAATTCTAAACAAATCTTATAAAGAAGTGGGCGTATACACTATTATTTTTTTTTCTTTCTTTTTTTCTTTATTCAATTTCTTTTTTTTCTTGCTCCTAAAATTCACTCCTTATTTTGTTCTTGTTTATATGCAGTTGATTGCATATTCGTCATTTTTAGTCACGTTGTTCTCTATTTCTTAAATACAAGATGTGTGTATATCATTCCAACATGATAGTTTATTTTTAGTCATTAGCTTAAGAGATATTAAAAAAAATAAAGTAGAATGAGTAGTAATAGTCGTTGATTGACACTTTTTGTCTCTCTCCTTTCTTCTCCTCTTGTTTACCTTTCTCTCCTCTCTTTATTATTTCTTCTCCTTTTTTTTTTTTCTGTCTAAATGGTTACTCCTAGCAAGCATACTTAGACATGTACGTGATACAATAGTTACACAGTGAGTTTTTGGCGGTCACAATGAAATGATCTGTAAGCATATTAATCAGCAAGTGTTGAGTCTCTTCTGTTTCTTTTTTTTTTGTTTGTTTATCTTTTTTCATGTATCCTCCTCAAGCGTCTTCTCAAGAACTCGAACATACGGTTGCTCAAGCGATTGATTGGGCTTTGGCTCACGGTCTTGTTGTACGACCCCCTTTAGAGAAACAAGCCATATTCACAAACAACGCGGCTGTCACTCATGCCCCTTTTTCCCTTTATCCTACCCCTTTTCCCCGTAAAGAATATGAAAAAGCTAAAACATTGCAGCAACCATGGAACACATTGATTCATAAAATGAGTCGAGATGAAGATTTGATTTCTGAGACCATGGAAACGTAAATGCTCTATAGGATGATGACCAAAACACTTACTTTTTTTTCATGTATAGCTTATCTAAATTAGATGATTTTATGAACCAACTCTATGAGATCTATTTGACTGTAAAGAATGAAGGCATTGTACAGGTATAAAGAGAGAGAGAAAAAAGGGGGGCCACTGACAGGAAAGGGAGTAACATCGCTAGTAGACCGCAAGCCTAGGTATTCATCGAAATGATTACCTCTTACATGCTGAAGTAGGTGCAGATGCAGCATCTGCTAAAATACAACAAGTTGAATTCAATACGATTTCTTCTAGTTTTATGAGTCTTAGTCACAGAACAACTGAACTTCATCGGTAAATCTGTCAAATGTTCCCCCCCCTCTTTTTTTTAATTGATTCTGTTACGATAGTTATCTCTTATCTGCCTTGAAAGGATATGCAGGAGACCAGATTCAAATGAACCAATTGCCTGAAAACAAAGCCATTGATTCCATTGCTCGTGGTTTAGCTGATGCATGGAAGCACTATGGCAACCCTGAGTGAGTCTCTTTTTTTTTTATGTTTGTATATATGTTGATTGATTTTATCTTATCTAGTGCTCGTGTGGCAATGATCATTCAGCCTGGTGAACGCAATGCATTTGATCAGCGTTGGATCGAATATGCATTGCTTGAAAAGTACGTATCATTGATGCATCTATCTTTTACTTATACTTTGGATAGTCATGGTGTACCACTTGTCAGACTTTCATTAGAAGACATTGCAACAAGAGCAAAGCTTGATACCAACACAAAAGCCTTGCTCATGTAAGCCACTTTATCAAGTCGATATGAACAATGACTCATGTGTATTATAGTGATGGTTATGAAATTGCTGTCTCTTATTTCCGTGCTGGTTATGGTCCAGAAGACTATCCTACACAAAAAGAATGGGATGCTCGACGTGTCATCGAGCGCTCTTTGTCTATCAAGTGTCCTACAGTCGCATACCAACTTGTAGGATCTAAAAAGGTGCAACAAGTATTGGCTGAACCCGGACGTTTGGAACGTTATGTGGATAAGGAGACAGCAGACGCCATGCGTGAATCATTTGCTGGTCTTTATCCATTGGACAATAGTCCTGAAGGATTGGCAGCCTACAAAAAGGCATTGGCAGAACCTGAGCATTTGGTCATGAAGCCTCAAAGAGAAGGAGGAGGGCACAATATTTATGGTCAAGACATTCTTGCTGAATTGAAAAAGTTGACACCAGAAGAAAGAAATGCTTATATCCTAATGGACCTGATCCGTAGTCCTCCTTTGGATAACTATATGATTCGTGAAGGCCAAGTAATTGCAGGCCAAGTCGTGAGTGAACTTGGTATTTATGGCATTTATATTGGGTAAGTTTGTGTCAGTATACGCACGCACATACATCCATGCTCACTTATTTTTCTTCTACAACTAGTGATCAAGACAAAGAGATTGTTAATTATACAGGTGGCCATTTGTTAAGAACAAAGGCTACTACTACACTTGAAGGAGGTGTAGCTGCTGGTTTTGCTGTGATTGATAGTCCTCTGCTTGTTTAGATCGTATGGATAAATAAATAAAAAAGAATGTCTAAAGAATGGACTATGTTTATTTAAAGAAAGTCGCCTAAAGCAATACCCATTGTGCAACTATTGCCATATGTCTGTTGGAAGCTGATACCTCTTCCACCATAAGTTCCAAGGACAGTGACAGAGACAGGGTCGTATTGCAAGGTACAGGCTACACCAGCTGTAGGAGGGATTTGTGTGATATTTCCATTCACAGCAGCTAATTGAGCACATGCTGCTGAGGGTTAGGATGGCTACCGCCTGTAGGATCACACGTTAAGGTGAGGAAATTGGATCTTCCGGTGCTTTCTGTTTTGACTAGAATAAGCAAGAGGGAAGGTGCTGCTTGAGCAAATGACAAGGAGACAAAAAGAGCAAAGGCAATGATATAAAGCTTGAAAAAGAGAACATGGCAATTAAGGAGTAAAAAAAAAAAGAAGAAGAAAAAGAAAAAGACACTGCTTAAATAGATATATCCTTTTGTTCTGTATCTACATATTCTATGTACCGTAAATTTGATTTCGTCTTCTTATTTCTATTCTTTTAAGAATATCAAGCTTTTTTTTCTGTATATCAAGACATAATATTGTAATTTGTTCCTGCAGTTTAATCTTAACCTTCTTGAACAATTCATTCTCTATGCATGTTGGTATTCTGTACAAAAAGTCCGAGGACTGAGAATGTGTTGTGTTGTATCTCATAAGTCCCCTCCCTCCTTTTGTTTAGTAGTAAATATCGCTTTTGTAGATCCCTTTTTTCTTTTGTCAAACCATACTATGTTAAAATAGGCTTATATGACATACTTTCTTTAAAAAGAAGGTTGACGATTATCTGATGACAAACAAATAAACAAAGATAGACACAGAAAAATTGCATGTTTTTCATCCTTGAATAAGTTTCCCAAAGCATAAAAGACGAGCACTATAAACTATGCAGAATAAAAGCTTAGTTTTTTTTAAAATAGAACTAGTATTTGGAGTGGCCACCTTCTGCGTCAATCACCGCTTGGCACCGGCTTTTCATGCTTCCAACCAAGCGTGCAGCATATTCTTGGCCGAGGCTCTCCCACTCTTGTCGAATTATCGACTTGAAGTTTTCAATATTGTGAACATCGGACCTCCCCGTTGTCCACAAGCTTATCAAGAGCATTCCAAATATGCTCGATGAGGTTCAGATGAGGGCTTCAAAGCACTTGTTCTGATGAGTGTTTTTCCATCAAAGAGTATAGGTGCCCGTGTGGCAAGTGGCACTATCTTCTTGCAAGGTGAAGTCCTTGTCTTGAGTGTTGGTGAGCTCCTTTAACTAAGGATGGAATATCTGAGCCAAAATATTGGCATATACATCCTTGTTAAAGGAGTCCTCTTCAACAACAGCCAGAGGCCCGAAACCCCCAGCCTATTTTATTGTTGAGACAGTATGAGCCTCCTCGTATCGCTCACTAATCTTTTGAAGCACTTTTCTGTCTGAAATGCTTGAAAGACCAAACTTTTTTTTGTAAGGGAGACTTGCTCCAATTTTTTTTCAAGTCCTTTAGACGTCAAAAGAGTGGAAGAAAAGACTGTGGTATTATAAGAACCAGACTAAGGAAAGGGAAATGAGCCTGTGGTAGAAGAAATTGAGAAAAGAATAAGAGTTTAAGAGAGCTTGATAGATACTTGAAATGGAGAGAACATCATGAGTAGTGAGAGAGGCACTGGAAAGGAAAGCGGAGGAGAGAATTTACGGTTCATAATCAAGGCAGGATTCATCATGCAGCTTATTTGCTAAGCGGAAAACCGTCTTGGTTATAGTTTTGGAGAGGAATGGGTTTTCAGAAAAAACAGATTGCCAGTGAGCTTGCCAGAGGGCTAGAGCAGTGCATGCAAAGATTTGGAAGGTACTTAAGGAAGGAAAATGGAGGAGAGAAATACGAGGGATAACAACCCGAAGGAGGAGGACTTGACGTAGGAGATTGACTGAAGGTGCACGGATGTTGGGATTGATGTACTTGGAGAAGCAATGAGACCAAACAGCATACTTGGTAGGGCAGAGGAAATAAAAGTGATCAAGGGTATCAATGGAAGTAATGAGATTTGAAGGACAGTGGATACAAAAGTTATTAGGAACTGTATGGGGCATAAGACGATGTAGGTGAAAACGGTTGTTGACTTTGTTGTGAAGCATCCTGTAAAGGACATTGCGAGCAGGGAGAGGGATCTTGAGAGACCAAAAGCGTTTCCAGTTAGGCGATAGGCGGAAAGACCAAACTTTGATTCATATGAACAGATGATATTATGCCACTAACCATCTATCCAGTTGATCTTACTGCTGACACAGCGACGTCTTTTCTTTCTCTTCTGTTCAGAGAGACGAGGCTTCTTTGCTGCTACAAACGATAGGAACCTCAATCGATGAATAGCTAAGACTACAGTGTCCTTATGAACATGGATACTCATTGCTGCAAGTTCTTTTTTTGATTTGTTGTAGGAAGCAAAAGGGATTTTTCCAAATGATACGACCAAGGTGCCTCTCATTCCTCTCATTAATCTTGTAGGTCTTCATGGTTGGTTTAGCAGGAAGAGGACTGCCAGTCTGCTTAATTCTTTCAATTATGTTTTCGACAGTCGATAAAGGCCGTTCGACCTGTCTTGCTCTTTTTTTAGTCCTTATTAAACCAGTAAACACCACAAAGTTACTTTTCGTACCCATGAAAAATGTTGCTATTGGTTTTTTGAGCAGACAAGTATAGACTAACGGGATGGGAGGAAAGAACAAACGATGTCTTTACGCAATCCCATAAAACACGATCAAAATTGAAAGTTAAATTTGTGTGACTATAGTAAACGAAACTTTGGAAGCGGTGCTCGAAAGAAAGAAAGGGCAAAGCCATCAGCCTCACTTGATATACATACAACAATAACTGTAATAAACTCTTCTTTTTCTTCTTTAGTGTATAAAGCTTTACGTAGTCTATACACCGTGTATTGGCTATCTCTTATTCTTTTTTTTAAAAAAAAAAGATGCATCTGAATCTCAAATTGTAGTTGTATGTGAAACCCAAATGTACGCAAAAGCAACTTGCACTCGAATGTTGTCCTGAAGTCACGCGTAAAAAAAAAAGAAGAGGCGCTTAACTGCTCTCATTTCTTTTCTCTCTTTTTCTTTTTCTTCTTTATAAATTTATATAAAAAAAATGGTAAGTAAAATATAGACGTATAAGGTACGAAACAAATTGCTCAAGTCTTTTTTACTTTAGGCTGATCAACTTACTGAAGAACAAATCGCTGAATTCCGTGAAGCTTTTAAGTAAGTTGTTTCTTATATACAGATGAGGTTAACACCATCTAGTCTCTTTGATAAAGATGGTGATGGTTCTATCACTACCAAGGAACTCGGTACTGTTATGCGTTCCTTGAATTTGAACCCCACCGAAGCTGAACTCCAAGACATGGTAAATAAAAATATAAAAAGGGTAAAATAAGTGTGTATAACCATGTTTTTTTTGTTTAGATCAATGAAGTCGATAGTGACGGTAATGGTCACATTGACTTTGCCGAATTCTTGTCCATGTTGGCTAGGTAAGTTATAAATATGCAGATATATATATATATATATATATATGTTCTGTAGACTAAACACTATGATAGAAAGATGAAGGACACTGATTCTCAAGAAGAGATCGAAGAAGCCTTCAAGGTTTTTGATAAAGACGGTAATGGTTATATTTCTGCTGCTGAATTGCGTCATGTCATGACTTCTCTTGGTGAAAAGTTGACCGAGGAAGAAGTTGATGAAATGATTCGTGAAGCTGATGTTGATGGAGATGGTCAAATTAATTATCAAGAATTTGTCAAGATGATGGTAAGTATATGTATTTTACAGACTCATTTTAACTCTTATGTAGATGTCCAAATAAATGAATACATAAATAAAATGTTTGTTTAATAAAGAGATTTTATCGAGTAGAAACACTATATGTCTTGACATAATCAAGACGGAATTTGTTGTCTTCAAGGACAGGGCCTAAAATAAAATTTAAGTACGTGTATGTCATTCTTGTGTAAAAATAACTTACGGTTAAGAGGAGTCCAAACAGGATCTTCTTTAAACAATCTCATGGCCTTAATATAGTTGTTTTCGTCTGTAGTAAAACGATGGTAAATACCAGCAGGCTAAAAAGTAATAATAAGTATCTTGCTCGTATTCATAAGATAAAATAAAAAATTACCAAAATAATCATATCTCCTCTTTCCATAAAAATTCTAACCCAAACATCATCTTGATCACGCACATCAAAATAGCCAGAGCCATCTAGAATATAACGAATTTCTTCATCTTCATGAAGATGTCTAAAGCCATAAATACACACACACACACACACACACACACACACACACACACACTACTTACTCGTCAAAGAAAGACTTGACTTTATCTTCATAAATAGGACCCATAGCATCAGGGGATACAACAATCTACTACTTAATATCCTTTTTTTTTAGTATATAATTTACTTACTGTGTCTCTATTCTTGTAGTGTCTTTCTTTAGCAATTTCATCAATCTTATCAATGGCATTTTCACCATCAATTCTCCAATATTTTACACCGACTTTTTCGAGATCCTCTACAGTTTTTGAGATGCCCAAATCATGAGGGGCACGTTGATCAGCGGGATCTTGGTTATCGTAAACATAAGCTCTCATTGTGTAGTGTAAGACTAAGAAAAAAAAAACGAGAGGGGAAATAAAAAGATTTTTTTTTTTTAAATTGTACACTTTTTTTTTTTTGAAAGATAGGATTTTTATTACGACAGGTATTGATTTGTAGAATGCTTAATAAAATTCTGCAAGTATTCAATAGAAACTGCTTCAATGATTTTTGAGCTGAGTGTTTTAACATCATTAAATTTAATACGCTTGACTTTGCTTTTCAAGATTGCTCAACAGAGTTGAGCTTAGATGAATACTGAGGAAGATATACCTTTTTAGTTATGATTAGGCTTATCGTGTCTGGTAATGTCAATTGGATCGTTGTCCATAACAATGTCAGTGTCCTGCAATAATAGGACAAACATACATCTATACATTTTATATTTTTTTAGCCACAGTTATATGAGCCATCCGGTAGTCTGCGAAGCTCACGTTGAACATGTCCGATAGGAGATGGTCCCTAAGGGAAAAAAAGGAGGGGGGGACCTGTGAATGTTTACCAAGTACAGTCGCTTGACTGCATGATAATTATCGTAGAGGAGCTTCAGCCTAAAGGAGAGAAGGCCACCCAGCATAACACTTACACTGATGAGGATACAAGAAGGTATTTTTGTTTACTTTCTTTTTTCGGGTAAAGTTGTACTTTATTCAGTCTTAATGTACACCAAACGGAAAAATTATTCGCGCATTTCTGAAAAAAAGATGTGCGTACTTTTAAAAAAATAAATCGCACAGAAAAAAAAGAAAATTTAGCGTAGTATTTGAAAAAAAATTAGCATGCTTGTGTATGCGCAAAATGCGTGAGTTTATTAAATAGGTCTGCGTTGAAGGCAATCTTCAAATTTGGCAGCAGAGCATCTACAGAAGCCTTTAAGATCACTGTACAAAATTCTATTGCAAGCATCTGCAATTCTCGAAGTCAATGTCTCCTCTTCCAAAAGCTGTTCCCTCTTGAGTTTACTTTTGCAAACCGACCAGAATTGCTCAATGGGATTAAGCTCAGGCGAGTAAGGGGGGAGGTACACGCACTTATAGCCTCGGCCCTCAATGAGATTCTGAATATCTTGATGCTTATGAATAGGAGCATTGTCCATGATCAAATAATGGCCACGGAATTCCTCATGACGATCCATGACATCCAAAACACTACTGATGAAATTGAAGTAATGTCCAGTAACTGTACCATTGTTACTGGCCACTTTTGCATTCAAACCTCCTGCTGCTTTTCTTTTCTTTGATGAGGGTAATGCTCTTGGTCTTCTTACACTAATGTTAACAACACCAAAAGGCGAGATGGCACCCAAAATGGTAGTAGTTTTTGCTCTTGTTTTGGGCACTTTCACGCTCGCACGCTCGCCTTCTTTGGACCAAGAGAAATTTCTCTTAAGGTTGATATGGAAAGCAGCTTCGTCAATGAACACACAGTTGCTAGTGAAGTCCATATCTGTTTTCATCCATCTCTTCACCCACTGATAGCGCTCTTCGATTTTTTCAGGGCTGTTTCTCTCGAAAGCTTGGAAACGAGCCTGCTTGAAGGTAATCTTACACTTATCCTTGACAAACTTGTTGAAACCGCTTTTGCTGATATCGAGTTTGCCAAATTTTTCTGTCAATACGTCAAGCATGTCGTCCAATGTAACGGAATTTGTGTTCTCGTCTGCCCATTCGATCATGAAATCTCTGTGCTCATCAGTTAAAATGGGCGGTCTGCCTACAGGTCTTCCACTGCCTGTAGCCCTTTGGATATACTCCTGAGGATCTTTGTTGTTCTTGGCTACCCAGCCTTGTGCTGTTCGAACATTAATGTTGAGGGCCAAGGCAGCAGCACGAACACTCATCCCTTTTTCTTCGACAAGAAAAAAAAATTTTCTTTTTCAGCATCCTTGTAGTGCTTATATGCTTTTGTTCAGCTCTGCAGGTAACTCAGCTTTCTTTTCGATCCCTTTCTCGAGAGGCTTTAAATCTGTGTATCTATCGTAGTCTGTTACGCTTTCGACTGGATACATCTCGTTGTCAATTTCCATTTCAAACTCTACAACTTCGTTTCCTTCAATGTCATGTTGGTTTCCTAACCCGTCTTCAAAAATAATGTTATTCATTTTCGTAATAAAATGTTGAAAAAAAGAGCTGGAAAACTACGCCATTTTTTTTCTGTTGAATATGCTAATTTTTTTTCAAATACTACGCTAAATTTTCTTTTTTTTCTGTGCGATTTATTTTTTTAAAAGTACGCACATCTTTTTTTCAGAAATGCGCGAATAATTTTTCCGTTTGGTGTACACGTATACCTTTTGTCTTTATTTGGCAAGCATGGATAAATAGGATTCCGGAAAACATAAGAATTCATCCGACTCGAGTTTTTTTTTTCTTTATGATTCGTCGTTCTTTATCTGTATTTATACCCACTACTGTGTTTCTTTCAATGACACCCAAGGTGTACTCGGAAACTAAGAAACCACATCATGATAACAATAGGTTCAAGAATCCTTGGGCTTCATTTACTCCTTTTGGCTTAGGTTCTGTGGCTAAAATGTTTTATACAATGGACATAAGTGGAACAGAAAAAAGAATTCGTGCTGTAGATTTACCTGAAAAAGTAAGCGTGGATTGGGATTTGCTCAAGAAACAACAACAACAGCAAAAGAATGATATTATCGCTACTTGGTTGGGACAGTAAGCAAATTTATATATATATAAATGTGGTTATTTATGTTACCTAGTGCCTGTATACTTGTACAGATCAAAGGATTCAATATCTTGTTTGATCCCATCTTTTCACAAAGGTAAATATTAGAATAGTGATAATTATGTTATTCATTATAACAAGGTGTGCTCCTGTACAATTTATGGGGCCTAAACGATACACTGAAGCACCGTGTCAATTAGATCAATTGCCCAAGATTGATGCTGTTGTTATTTCTCATAACCAGTAAGGAAAGAATGAATTATAATTTATGGACTGACAATGGAGTGGCTTACTTTAGTTATGACCATATGGATCAAAATACGCTGCATGAAATTGATAAATTATACCCTGATTGTAAATTTTGTGTGCCTTTAGGTAACAAGAAATTATTGGACCTATCAAGTCAAGTAGACAGTCAAGGAAACGATCGTATTATTGAACTGGATTGGTGGGATAGTGTCGTGTTAAAAAAGCAATTGGAAAAAGAACAGGATTCAGAGATCAGATTTACATGTACACCTAGTCAACATCAATCTGGAAGAGGGTTGTTTGACAAAGACAAGTCACTTTGGGCATCTTGGTGTGTAGAAGGATTAAACAAGGATACAACAGTCAGTGGAAAAGTGTTTTTCGCAGGGTAAAAAAAAAAATCAAGAAAGTGATAGCATACTTATTCTGTTAGTGATACGGGTTACCGTTCAATTCCTGCTACTACTAAACCTGAAGAGGAATACAATTACGAATATCTAGATACACTTCCTCATTGTCCTGCTTTCAAAGGTAGTCTTTCGTTTGTTATATCAAGATGATTTATTTGTTTAGAAATTGGAGATAAAATAGGTCCTTTTGATTTGGCATGCATACCCATTGGTGCTTATTCGCCTCGATGGTTTATGTCCGCTGTCCATTGCTCTCCTGAAGACGCTGTGGATCTTCATAAAGATGTCAAGAGCAAACATTCAGTAAGTCTTGATATTCGACAAACAATCTACTAAATTAAATATCAGATTGCTATTCATTGGGGCACTTATGTCCTTACAGACGAAGCAGTACAAGACCCACCAAAGCGTCTAGAATCTGCCTTGATTCAACGTGGACTTGATAAAACGGATTTTAGTGTTCTCCCATTGGGTGGAAGTTTCACTACGACCACGGCATGATTTGTTATTTGATGACACTTGTTCTTTTTTTTTAAAAAAAAAAAATTCCTTTTTATTTCTTATATTTTCCTTTTTGCTTTCTTTATCATGAACGATACACTAGGCAATAAAGAGCAATCTCTTTTTCAATCCGAATCACCTGATCCTAGTCTTATTCAAGCCGCTATACTTCGGCCAGAGTAAGTGGTAAAGAAACAAGAAAAATAAATTGATAAAATAAACAGGCATGATTATAAATCTCAAAATTGGAAAAATGGTCTAGGCATCACGGATGAGATTGCTATCTATCCACCTGATAAGAATTTTGTCAAGGATGAATTCTTTTGGAGGTTTAGTACGAACCTTATGCAAGCCAATTGTAGTTTCTCTGTTTTTCCCGGATATGATTGGTAAACACTCATGATGCATGAATATCGTTTTAACAATAATTAGTACTACGGTTCTTTTGCCTGGTCAACATCAAAAGAAGAAACCTACGCTTTCTTTGTCTCATCTAGGCAATGAATCGTCTACTAAAATTCAACCTTTGTTTCCTTATACTTGGCAAGGTGAATGGTAAGTTGCTGAGAATCAAACAATCAGCCAATAGTTTGATAGGACCACCACATGTAAAGTATCAAGTCCACCTGTCAAAAGCCTGCAATTCATGCTGAAGCGGGAGCTCGGAAAGGCTCAAGTACGTATAGAAAAAATCGATTCTTTTGAAACAGATCTTCAAGGCGATGTTGATTCTGGAAAAAACATGTTGTTTGGTGCGTTTGCACTTGTGTATGTGGTAGAGGGGTTTGTGAGTGTCAAGTTGGATGAAAATCATGCACATCGACAACGATTTGAACTCAAGCATGGTGAAACACTTTTTGTGGAACGCGATGAAGACGCAAGTCCTACCAGTATTTTATTAAACGCAATAGATGAAAATGGCGAGGCTGCTACTCCTGGAACAGGTAAATATAGCATCTATAAGCATACACACACGCTAGATACATAAAATAGAGGCTACTATCATTATGATTCAGGTCGAAGAAGGCAAAACGTTTGGTGGTATCTTACCTAAAAAACAAGCAAAAGCAATCGAATCAGAGCCTGATCATAAAGGTATTGTACCCAGTCAAAGAAGACCTTCTCTTCGTCGTCCCAGTCTACTTGTTCCCATACAGAAGGAACCTATGCTGGCACCCACTGCACAGAATGAAATACAAGACAAGATCAATTTATTGGATATTCATGCTTCTCAAGACACTGAGCATCGTCGACCTACGCATCAAAATAAAAGAAGAGACAGTTTAAATACTGAACTCTTTGATCCTGATGCTATTTATGAACCACCCGCTTTTGCGTTAATGCATGATGATTCAGAAATGCCACCACCTGTCATTCGAGATAAACTAGAAGTGGATGATTTCCCTTTGAATACGATCAGTACAGCCTGGATTAAGATGATGACACAGGGTTTGAGTGAATGGCTTAAACTTCCAGTGATTGTTTGTCGAGGCAAAGAAGACGGGTAAACAAAAAAAAATATAGTGTTTCTTAACTCAAACATACATAGACCTGTTCTTGGTATTACTGCAGCTGTTCATGGAAATGAATTAAATGGCGTACCATGTATTCACAGGTAAATATATGTATATATATATATATATATATTTGATTCATTTACTTAATTTCAAATCTAGAGTGATATCTCAGATTGATGTCAGTAAACTCAAAGGCACAGTTGTAGCCGTACCTTGTGTCAACATTTGGGGCTATCTAAAGTTTCAACGAGAATTTGCAGATGGGCGTGATTTGAATCGTCAATTCCCAGGCAAAGAAGACGGTTATGCCTCTCAGGTTTTTTGTTATCATCTGATGAGCAAAATTATTTCTCAATTCAATTATATGGTTGATTTGCACACTGCTAGTTTTGGTCGAGTTAATTCATACTACGTGAGAGCAGATATGGTAAGTTCACAATCATAAGACAAGGGTGATTCATGATGTCTCAGAATGACGATGTTGGGGGAAGTATGGCTAAATTACAACAACCGCAAATCTTGTTGCATAATTCAGGCCAAGATGGTACATTAAGATCTGCTGCGGCTGCAAGAGGCATTAAAGCCATTACAGTCGAAATTGGTAATCCACAAACCTTTCAAGATCTTTATGTTCAGGTAAAAACGAAACAAGAAGACATAGTATACAGACTAAGCATGATGCATATAGTGGTCATTTATGGGTATTATGCGAATTTTGGACCATTTTGAAATGTACTCGTTAAAAGACGTCAACGTATCAGATGCTTTGCGATTTTCCAAAACGGGCGATGACCACACAGGACCTTCACACACTGTCTTGTGTTCAAGAGGATTTTGGGTAATAGATTAAAATGATGTTGATAATGACTCATATCTTGCCTAGCTTTATACAAAAACTGGAGGAATATTAGAAGTATATCCCAACGTCAATGCGCTAATCAGAAAAGGAGATGTTATTGCACGTATAAAAAACATGTTTGGCAACGTAGTAGAAGAATATTTTGCTCCCTGTACAGGCGTGGTAAATGAACTTGTAAGAGAGTGAAAGATAGCTTAAAACGTTCTTTAGGTTATTGGACATAGTTCTAATCCAGTAGCTATGGCTGGTGATCGTATTGTCCATATGGGCATTATTAAACGAACGGACGAAGTATTAGCTAAAGCAGCAAAAGAAAACTATTAATAAAGTAGCACTCTATCTCTTTCTTGGTACATAGAAGCTATCGCTTTTTGGATTTTCTAAATATTTCAATAAAGATATGAGTGAAGCAGATCTTTGCTAGTTAGAAGATCTCACAAAACCAGTTTTGAGCTCTTTACTTAAAACTTTAGGCGACGTTTATTCTTTTAAGCGTCCTGTTGCGAAATCAGCCGAAAATGAAGAAGACGTACTCTCAATGGAGTAAATACTATATAATAACTATTATGTGCTTTATTCTGCTATTGACTATAAATAAAATTAGCAATTAAGATACGAATGAACCATGTCTTTGTGCCTATTGCTTCAATTGAAGCATCAGGCTATGAGAAAAAGTACATCAACATGAAGTACATATCTGAAACAGCTAATTTGCATTGTAATATGAGCCTGTTCAATCGCTCTTAACTTGGTACAGAAATAAGAATGTTGGTGTTAAATAGAGAAAAAGCAGGTGGTGAATAGTGAAATTTCGAGTACTAGACAGAAGAATCATTGCTGTAAAGAGGAAACATTTAGAATGATATTGTTAGTTTCATTCCAGACGATCAAAACTATATAAAAAGCTTAAAGAAAAGCTCCTTCCACTCCAAAAAGAAAAGAGCGACCATTTTGACATAAATGTATTGATTTTGAAAGGGATTTTTTCACAAAATCATTTGTCTTTGACTCATATACATTTGATAAATGGCAGTTTTTTTGTGTGATATCACCTATGAACCATGGCCAAGCAATGAAATACTCTTTTTTTTTATACTTAAATTGAATATTGGAGTGCTTAGTTCATGTTGTTGCTCTAATTCGTATCCACTAGCTTCTCTTGACTTAAAGACAATCTAGAAATCTCAAAAAATTAACCAATACCATGAGAAATACTCTAGACTAGAACAAACGATAATCAACCGACGAAAAAAAAAAAAAATCTTGCTTTCAGACAGAGAAACAAGCTTAATCAAAAATCAGAAATAAAACTTTTTGTTTACTCTATATCGTCCATTTGAAGTGTTTTTAATTTGAGATGTATTCCAATTTAGGATTCTTTGTTGGGACGTATCTCTTCTAAGAATCTCTAACTAGAAAATATCTACTCCATCAAAATGTTTCAATTGTATTTCATAATGTAAACGGTTTATTCATAAAAGGGAAGATTATTTGTCTGATTCGTTTTAAGGAATATCATTTATTTCAACTGTGTACACTCGGCATATTTTTCGACATAAAAAAAAGGGAGAAAAGGGTATATTATTATTATGTAATAAAAAGAATCTAATGAATTCTACTGGGGCGATGATTGACTCCATAGTGATAAGGTGAAGCTGTACAATGCATAGTCATGTAGTAATAGGGCGATCTGATATCTATATGAGATTCATGGTGTATAGAGGAAGAAGAAGAAGAGACCCCTGATTGAGAGGAAGATTCTAAGGAGGGCAAGCGGGAAAGATCAACATGTTTTTGACGCATTCTCTTGTCTCGTTGGTTCATCAAGTCTTTTGCTTCTTGATTATAATCTCTATTAGGATCAATAGGCTCAGGTTCTTCAGTGAGGTACCCTAGCTCTTCAAAAAAGAGTTGATAAAAGGAATGTATATGGTTATCTTTGTCAATAATAGACTCCTCTGGTGTAAGAGAGACAATATGAGATAGGTTCTCCTGGCATTCTGAATCATCAATCCATTTACAGGCTTCTTGCTCGTCTTCATATGCCAATGGAGAGTCTTCTGGCGTTAATGAAAAGAAAACGAGTTGAGAAAAAGACATTTAAAAAAAAAGAAAGAAGGAGACAAAGGAGTGAGGGATGATAAAGAGGTACATGTAGATCTTCTTAAATACATGAATTCAACGGAAATTCAAGGAACCAAAAATGCAAAGAAAAGCCAATAATTGATTGTGAGCAATCCGATACAGCCAATAAGATATCTCAACGGAATCTTATCAACAACCTGTGTGAGAGTAAGATAGTAAAAATATAGACATGATTTCCCAAGGTTATTGGGATACACTTTGAATTTATTTTGGGATATTTCTTTTCTTTTTATGCAAGTATTTTGTCCATGTATAGCTTCGTCAAGTATTGCAAAGTCTAAACTTTAAATTCCAACTGTTGGACATCAAGTCTGTAGAAGATATAAGCTTAGAGTAAAGCAGTTTTTGTCTATTTCAATTTAATTATTTTGGCGCTAACATGTCAAGAGGATAGCTACTGTAAACATGTTAGCAAGATTTGACTTAGGTTGATTCTTTCCACTTTATTCTACAATGTTCTTATTACAGTGTGTTCTTTTACCTTCAATTCACACACATAGGATAAATTGCAGCCATAAACAACGGAGTGTTCCTAAAAGAAGAGAGAGAGAGAGAGAGAGAAGCAATTGTTTTTAAGGCTTGGTGTTGTACAATATCGAATCAATCATGGTTTAAAGAGAAGCCAAACATCCTCAGCACACATTTGACTATTAATTGAATTAATACCGCAAATCCGAACATAAAAGCTATTTTCTTTTTCTCTCTCTTTTTTTTTTCTCTATGTCGCGTATTACTTTCTATGACCTTGAACTTTTGGCCAAACCAGGCTTGGTATGGTCACCTAATACTTGTAAGACACGCTTTGCTTTAAACGTCAAGGTAAACAAAAAAGAAAAAGAAAAACGCGCATTTTATCTTATATATTGTTAGGGTATTCCCTATGATACAAAATGGGTTGACTTTGGTAGCATGAAGACAATTATTCCCTCCCTTACGTAAGGTTGTTTGTAAACAAATATATGTTTCTAAATCATTTCTAACAGTAAACAAGATAAAAGACCTACTGTGCCTATTATTATTGACTCAAAAAATGAGCAAGTCATTGACGATTCATTGAATATTGCACACTATCTCGAGAAAGAGTTTCCTGAAAACAGTCTTTTTCATGGCAACATTGGTATTCATCGATTCTTCCAAAAATACTCGGAGCAAAACCTTTTTTTCCTATTTTTAAGCTGGCCATCCTCAAGATTCATAAATCAGTAGGTCCTCAAGAACTCCAAGACTGGTTTAAAGAAGACCGTGAAGCTAAATATGGTGTTTCTTTGGAACAAGTAGCAGGTGACCGAGAAGCAAATATCGCTTCATTAAAGCAAGGATTGACTTCCATTGTTCAACTCTTGAAAGAATTCCCATTTATTACGGGTGATCAAGGTAAAATTAGGCAGCATGGATTATTTGCTCATTTTCTTTAGTTGGTTGGGCTGATGTTGTCTTTATGTCCCATCTTGTCTTTTTAGAGGCTCTTGAGCCTGAGTTATTTGAGTCTGCTGTATTGAATGTATTTGGTTCATCAGATGATACGCTCAAATCTTATTGGACACGCACTGAAAAGTATCGTAAAATTATACCTTCCTCAAGTCTTTAATAAAGTTTTTCACCTTGCACAGACGCGCTGTTTTAAAAAAAAAAGAGAGAGGGAAAGGGGGAGGGGGGCAATATTAACACGTCTTCTTTTTTTTTCCTCTTCTTTTTTCATCAACCATGGACTTTAGCGTTCTTTCTCGATATGATGATATGCTTGCAAGCTATTTTGTGGATAGTTTGTATCTATGGTTCAACACGCTGCGAATGAATAGTGATTTTGTTGGAACCGCTGTTGATGAACAAAAAGTGATTGATGTTATACATAATCATCTGTTCAAAAGCACGATGGGTGATGGCTTACGGCGAGCTGCTGCTGCTTTTTTAGAGTAATTCAAAGTAAAAGAAAAAGAATTAGAAAGAGAGAGAGAGAGAAAGCGATGACCGTCTTAGATCTGACAGGCTAATCATTCTATTACAGGTTCCCTTACTTTAAAGATTTTATATCTGATTTACCCAAGAAACAGGCACTTGAGTTCTCTCAACATATGAAACGTTATTTGGCCATGTAATTGTCAAGTTTGTTCTGATTATATGTGTTGATAGGGGTTTTTTTTTATGAATAGGTATATGCCAAATGCAGGGTTTGAAGTGAGTTCGACCAAGCGATATACAGGCCAAATGGAGGCATGTATTGTAGCAACAAAGGATTGGAAAGCAGGGGAACAAGTAAAATACTGCCTTGGATCTATAGCCGAACTTACAGAAGAAGACGATGCAAAACTAAAGCGTGAAGGACGTGATTTTAGTGTGATGGTATCTCAACGAAAGAAATGTTCTTGTCTTTTTCTTGGGCCTGCTCGTTTTATGAATCACGATTGTGATGCCAATTGTTCAGTACGCGTCTTCTTTTTTGTTTGTTTGTGTTATTTACTTATTTGTTGATAGTTTATCTTGATTGGACAGAATGCTATTACATTCAGAATTGAGCGTGATATTGCCTGTGGAGAGGAAATGACAGTGTTTTATGCTGAGCATTATTTTGGTGAAGACAATTGTGAATGTCGTTGTTCTTCTTGTGAAAGGTAAGCCATGCATTCCTGGTTTCTTGTATTGAATATATGTGGTGTAGGCTTCAACAGGGTAGTTTTTCAGTTCAAATAAGTGATGAAGAAGAACAAGAAGCTTCTTCTGGCACCTCAACCTCGTTAGAAGAGGATTCTAGTGCACGAAGAAGTGGACGGAAAAGAAAACAAGTGAATTATAAAGGTATTTTGAGTGCGTTATTGAATAACCAATGTTTAATTTTATGTCTAGATTATTTTATAGCCACAGCTAACAAAAAATCTAAACAGTTCAGTCCAGAAGATGACAAGCAAGTCTTGACAGACAATCCTTCAAATCCACCAGAAGCACAAGATATCTTTGATTTTGCTTTTTTTGATAGTGATCGCTCAAAAGAAATGAACCTATGGTTTATCTGTCATGATCAAGCCAAGTCACAATTACCAAGGGACAAATTGTTTGACACTTGTTGGTCAAAAGGAGAATACGATGCCATGGATCAGTTTTATGCTTGGATTGATGATCAGTCAGACATATCTGATACTGAAGATGCAAGGTCACACATCAGCCATGTCCAGACTGCTCACTGCTGTAAAAATGCAAGTGACTTTGATACTATCAAGACATCAGAAGGCCATCTTTTCTGTGCAAGATGTTATCGTCATTATAAAATATTTGGTCATGAATGGCCATTGCGAAGAGAGAAGCGAATACATCCCAAGACTAAACAGAGCTTAAAACTCGCAGCTCAATTGTGTGCTTCTCCACCACCTTCACCATCACCACTACCATTAACACCAGTCTCTTTATCCAGCAATCCACCTAAACCTGTTCGTCGTAAAAGAACATTACAAAAGAAAAAAGACAAAAAGCCAGAAAAAGAAGTACCATCTGAACCACGTTTTGTTCACGTCTGGACGTCGTTGCCATCTACTTTTACTCATATTCAAGCATCAGCGCCTGTTGAACACCAAATAGAAGAAACGCTATTAGCTGTAGATAGAAGCCATGACAAGCCATTGCTCAAACCACACCAGCGTCTTGATGCTGAAATACGGTCGAAAAAGGAACACCTTCGAGAGTTGATAGAGAGACGTGGTCTATTACAAGAACTGATACAGAAATACAAGCAACTTTGTCAGAATCCATCTGAACTTGAGTCTGCGGCAGACAAAAACATCGTTCCCAAATGTAACCAATCTAGTACGACAATAACAAACATATTACCAAAGAAGTCTATTTCAGAAACTAAAGCTTATTCACCACCCTCAACTTGCATTGAAAAACCCGTCGTTTCTGATACACCTGTGATACCCAACCCAACTACAGAAAAGAAGACAGAAATGACGAGTACGGAACAGGACCCTATTGCCGCAGCTGTCAGAAAAATGCACCAAAATTATTCAAAAGAGCCCATCAAACCATCTTCACCGCCTAAATCACTTGGTGTATTTGCAGATGATCCACTTGTAAGAATGCAAACATATAGTTCTGTGGAGACATCGAATGACAATGACAACGATGAGAATGACCCAGTCATAAAAGCGTTGCACAGAAAGAGTCAACAATACAAGGAGCAAGGGAGGAAGGCAACACAAAAAGAGACTCGTAGCACAAGATCAAATGAACCCACTAAGCCTAAAGAGATGGACACTGTTCATTGTCAAGTCGCTGCTCAAGATCACAAAGTGTTACCTATGAAACCAGTAGAACACAAAAAACCTGCTAGTAAACGAAGAACAAGCTATAGTGCCAGCACTACTACGCGACGCCTTTCATCTGGTAAAACTGCTATCCCTATCCCAGTACCTACACCTAATCGCTAAAGAAAATTAAAAAAAAAAAAAGACATGTCATTCCCAGATCTAATTTCCGTTTATAATCTTATTTTTTTATTTCTTTAAAACGGCCCATTTCTTGACCGAGTTATTCACATAGTTTTTAATTGTACAATGTTTCTGAACAGCAGTAACTCTGTCAGGAATCACGTTTGTCAATTTCTCATAAGCACTGAATTGCAAGACGAAAAAATCAATTTGACAACCACCGTAACTCCAGCTTTGATCATCTACACGAACACAGCCATTGTGCACTTTGCCGTCGGGTAATTTGAGACCATCTAGTTCCTTGATATAGAGTTTGGTACCCCTCTTGATATCATTGGCTGCCACGCTAACCCAAGGTGTCAATTTGTCACTATTCGAACCAAGACCATAAGGGGTCTTTTTACGATTGAGCTTCATAAAACTATTATTACCGCTATCCAAGTTGACCATGACACCTGATTTTAAAAGACCAGTGCCTTCCATTTGGAATTTTTCATATGTGTTCTTTGAGACCTTCGCAATGAGTTTACCATTGCTTGTCTTGAGGGACTTGTTTCTACTGCCATTGAGAGTGATTCTCTTGCCATTGTTGGTCATGTCTTTGTCTCCTTCTTTAGGAATCCAATATTGAGTAATTCGTACTTTTTTGTAACAGGATTTGAGACCACGCTTTTCAAGGGGAGCAGCGATTGTGGTCATGAATGATGTACAGAGGATCAATAAAATGGTGTAAATGTTGGAATACTTCATTGGAAATAAATTGAGGGAAGGGGGGGGGGGTAAAGAATAGCCTGCTATTGAAAGGGGGAATAATATACAATAGGGAACGAGTGCGATCAACGCTTGTTTTTCTTTTTGTTGTTTTTTTAATTGTAGAAAAATAGCTTGTTTATATATAATTTTCTTGCCCCGAAGAATAATTAGATGTTGTACAACATTCAACTAATAATTGTATAGAATTCGATTCTAATTAAGAGAAAAAGGAAATAATTAGCTGTGTATAAAAAGATCGATAATAAGATGCTACGTAGGACAAGCGCAGCGCCTCTCCTTTGTTTAGTATTTCATTTAGAAATGATTCGTAAGACGAGCCACATGCATTAAGAGTTCCCTTTCAATTTTGCACTATTTCCTGGCAGATTTTTAAAAAATCACGGGCACACCTTTTTCTTCTTTTCTGTTTTTGGTGCTATTTATTTAGAAAATTTAGTTTAATTCTGGATAATGAGTTGAGACAGAATCAAAGATAAATTGCATCTGAGACAATCAAAGGAGAGAATCAACATGTCGTGGCTAGCATAAAAAGGGAAATACTGATCGTAATGGATGGACAGATTGTATGTCAGAACAGAAAAGCCTGTTTGTAGCTGTTTCAATGCCAAAGGGTGGTTCCTTAATCACAAGAATCTTGACTCCGTTCAAAGACGATGAAGTTGTGCCTATCTAAGTAATAATCATTCAGAAATCGTTAGCTCGGCAATTAGCGTTGAAAAATTTCTGTTAAATATAGAGATTCTGTCAATCGACAATGATGTACAAGCCATTTATGATCCTTGTTTCTATAGTAAATGCACTAATATTTTTATGGTTTCTTAGTTTCTCTTTAGTCTTTACATAGACTTTGCCAAGTTGTCAACCCAAGCTCTCTTTGGTTTTGAGTGTTTTTGATCGTATGAAAGTATCATCATGCATACACACAAAATGATTGTATGTCTGGGGTTTAAAATAGAACAACTTCAATTTTCCATCTCACCGCATCAAAATCAAGAATACTTTATAATAACTCATTGTTGAGCACCTCTTTTTTGTAGCCCTATAGCGCTACAAAATACGTGCGGCAAATAAAATCATTTAAAAAAAAATCAAACTTTTGCTGAGAACTGCATGAAGATGCTGTTATTTGACGTTGGTGCATTAAAAAAAGCTGTATATATTTAATTTCTAAGTATAATGATGTAAAGAAAATGGCAGGTTTGCTGGCAAAGTTTCGAGCAAATAAGTGGAAACATTTTTAAAGTTTTTCGCTCATATCGTACCATTTTTATAGTACAATCAGCAAGTAGACACATTGACTCAAAACTAGTGCCCTTGGCGCACATTTTGAGTATTTGAGCTTGTCTATATCTTTACTTTTGGTCCTGTAACAACAAAAAGTTGAACAGAAATTCTCAAATGAGCAATTTTCATGAATAGTACCCTTTGGTCAAAAGACAACTTATGTGCTAGCAAACATTGTTCATAAGTGTTGAGAGTATGTATTCGTGTATCAATAGGCTTTTTACTCATTTTGTTGAAAGAGAAGGTACATTTATTTCAATAGGTACAATATAATGAAATCAATGACATCTTGCGGCTAAAACGGACTAATTCATGCTTCACAGAAAATATAATAAATTATTATGAATTGTAATTAACTGATGAATAAACTTTACTTGATAAAATACTTACAGCTACAGTCCTGTTTACATTCATATCCACACAAACATGGGCATTTTATAAAGTGGACTGAATGTTTCCCTCCAGAAAAAAAAAGAGAGAAAAGCAGAGAGGTTTATTTAAAGAAACTTGGTCTAAATTGAGTGAATTACAGGTTTATACATTAAATAACAATGAAAATATGGTCTCAGTTTTTTTTTCTTCATTGATTAATGAAAGAAACCCCATTTGATTTTCTGTGGTTTGGTATGTTACTTGATTTTAGAATTTAGAATATTGATCAGATATTCAACAGAAAACTTACCTTCATGGAATAAAAACAACACCTTGGTCTATTTAATTCGTCTTAAAAGTACAAGATGTCTTTTCCCCTTCTCTCAACCAGAGATAGTGAATTTTATTAAGGATAGAAATGCTGTAAATGTGTACAAATAAAAATGAGGCTCTTTTTTTTTTATGCCAAATCTGCTGTTGCTTCTTGCTGCTTTAATTTCTTTTCGTACTCTTCACGAGCACGGTCTTGCCATCTATGTTGTTCAGCAATTTGATGAATCTTAAAACCAAATATACGAGGCTCATATCGTTCAGTAGATTTAGTAGGCAGATAGTTGGGATGAGCTTGGAATAACATATGAGGGAAAGATGTACCAAAATAAGCACCATCAATAGATGCATGGCGAGAAGACTTGGGATTGTAAATATCCTCACAGCGAGGACAGTATAGCTTTACAGTCTTAGTCACAGGAATATCAGACAAACCTAAAGGTAAAAGTGGTTGAAGATTACAAAGCACACGGGGACATCTACCAAATTCAGCCTTTTTATACTTGTCAAGCTACATGGAATATGAGCCCATCAATGTCATGTTCTGTCTACCTTACCATCTTTGCTATACCGCGAGTGGTGATCACAAAGCGAGCATGAATCAAACCATACAAATGACGAGCTGCTCTTTCAATTTGATCCCTAGCCTTTTCATCATATCTTTCTTCATCTAAACAAAAAAAAAAAAAAAAAAAAAAAAAACTGTGTCAATCATGTTGTGCTTGGTATTGTTTCATACCTAAATTATCAGTAATCATATCCAGTGCTTCTGCATAATATTGTTGTACTTCAACATTGAGTCCTGTCAAATTGAAACGATCCAAGATATACTCTTCATCAATCTCACAATAATACTCGTTTCCTTTTGTACTCAAGAACCAGTCGATCCAATACTTTGCGTAATCACTCTCAGATCCACTGCTCATATCATCCACTAATCAGTAGTTTAGTTACACTTTTTCTTCTTCTTCTTGTTCTTCTTCTTACTTTTTAGTTTCTTTGTTGAAGACTCTGCCAAGTCTTGAAGTAGTTCGTTTTCTCTATTTAAAAAGAAAAGAAATAAGAAAAAAAAATTTCGAACCAAATAAAAAGTCAGACAAGAGGGTTACTTGAACAAAAAAAAAATAGTTTTGTTCTTTTTTTTTTACCTTTTCAGTTTTAAATAAAATGGCCACTAAAAATGAATAAGCGTCCAACAAAAGAAGAAGAAGAAAAAAAAGAAGTTTCTTTTACAAAGTAAGAAAAGAAATATAAAAAAAAATAACAACTAGTAAGCCACATTAAAAAAAAAAAAGAGTACTGCTAAAATTCGCTTTTAGATGACCGAAGAAGTAAAAGAAGAAGCGTGCGCGGACTTTATCAGGGAGGATGCATGAATGGTTTTATTTTGGTTGATGGTCAGCATCGTCATCTTCTTGATTATCACTGTATCTTGTAATGCCTAGTGCATTCTGATTATCGATAATTTCAGCATCCTCTTCTGCATCACTGTAATGACTTAATAAGCCTTCTTCTTCTGTTCCTAAATCAAAGGGACCTCTTCTTCTTTCCACTAAAGGGAAACTAAATCGATTGGGTATCAGCCTATTTGCTCTCTGAAGACAGAAACACATGCCAATACCCAACATAATCAAGATAACATACTACAAGCCTAGTGTGTTATTCTAACTGAATTTCTTATGGACTCATACTCACAAGAAAGATAGTAGCTGGCCAGTCAAAGTCATCAGGAGGAGATCGTTTTAACAAAGTGTCTTAATAACAGGTTACTCTCTCTTTTCTGACTTTATGGTTTAGCATTACCTGACATAAGTGATGTTAAAAAGAAGAAGAAGAAAAAAAATAATAGAAACGGTGAAACAAAGCTATGAAATCACTTTTTATTATTATTATTATTATTATTGTTATTACTATTATTCAGTAGCATCTACAATAACCCATTCATGATCATAGTATACCTTTCGTTTGTAGATATCCTCTGCATGGTATAGCAATTCAAATTGTCCTCGAGACAGGAAATAGAGTGGAAATGAATAAGATGCAAATCCATGGATAGCAGGAATCTAAAGCAGCCACATGAGACACACAGATTTATAGAATAAGTACTTTACTTCTGGCAAGACAACTTGCTTTAATCCCTCTATAAACAACTTGTCTGAAAGATCATATTCTTTGACACCATCATTGTAGCTTTGAACAGGCTGAAGTCTAAGTATCAGTTTGATTGGATAGGCTATTGAAAAGAAGATAAGAATATGAAAAAAGCCTTATAGACTTACAAAATCGATTTTTAACAGAAATGGTCAGGATCACATAGTCATTGCAAAGACAACTGAATCTTCGATGGCTTAACTTCTCAACACTTTTGCCTTTCATGTCTATTGAAAATGCTACATCTTCCTTTTTGAGTATGCCTAGTTGTGTAGATGACATACGCAAAGAAGGACGAAGATTGAGTCTACCAGAACGATGAGATACTCTGCATTTCCAACTTGCTTTTATGCTGTCCAACAACTCTTCTCTATACCAAAACATCTGAAGGCGTGCTGCCTGTTGTTCTTTTGAGATGTTAGGGCCTTGAGATACAACAAATTGTTTGTTAGGATCAAAAGAAGGAATGGCTTGATTGCAAATGCTGTTAGGTAAGAACAAACGCTTGATAGGCAGAATGATTCTATTCAACAACAGATGAGATGAGGCAACACTTCCTCATAAGATCTATTGTTTCTTACCTGACTGTAGATCCAGCTTGAATGGTTGTCCGAGATAGAATGTGGTCTTTTTCTCGTTTGTCAGCATGATTGATTGTGAATTCAACATCAAAGGGTACAGTCCAGATATTGTGAACATCAACTGTGACCAGACAAAAATCGTTTATTTCTTGATTCTCTAGTTCGATATTTCGAGTGACAAGCAGCACGTCTTCAACAGGTTGTTTTTCTGAAGGAATATTCAAGTCATTGAGAGTTGTTTGACGTATGCGTTTCATGGCTACCTCAATTGCTTCTTTAGAAGCTGGAATACTGTGTCTAAGATGCGCTACATCCCAATTCAAACATTCAAGGTTTTGATATACTGTAATAAGCACATTAAGATACAGTTGTCTTGTATGAAATAAAGCAGTTTCTGGTCTTGAAGTTGAAGATGACTTGGTACGATCAAGATAACCATAATCAATCTGAATGGTTCCTCCTCGACTATGATACGCATTAATACAGACATATCGTAAATACTACATACCAATCTCTTTTGCCATAGACATTGATTTTGATGGTAGTAATTGCGCCTGGTGGTAACCATATCTTTTTTCCAATCAATTCATTGCTTCTTTTTTCAGATGTGCCTTCCCATGAGAATACACTTGTGCCTTTTGTATAAAGTTCAATTTCGTATTGATCTTCAGGAGGAAGTTCTGGATTGATAAAGACAGGACTAGAAGTAGTAGAGTCTACAAATGACAAAGTAACAAAGTCAACAGGAACAAGGCCAATATTTTCTAAATCTATGGTCATCTGTATACTAGAAAAAAAAAGATAAGTAAAGAATATGTATGGTAGATAGACGTACACTTCTCCTTCATACAACATAACTGCACTATGTAATAAAGATGTCTTTTTAATCTTAAGTAAGGGTTGATCCTCAATAACATTGACTGTGTAGAAATGCGCTGGACTACTATCGTTGGTTTTTTCTTCTTTTTTTTAGAAACAAGTTATTTCATGTACATTCTTTTTGTGCCCATTACCTTTATTTTTACTAAAATCAAGGGCATTCAAACCGCTTTATAAAAATCAGTATAAAGATACTTACGAGAAATTGGGTAAATACCTATGCTTTATCTTGATAAAATGTTGATGTTTTGATGATTCTTTGTCTGATGTGTTGACAAGAAACTCTTGCTCTGCAAAACCAATGATTCTAATAAAACAACCGCGTATAACAAGCGCACCTGTTTCCTCTGGTGTGCCCATCAATTGAACATGAATCGTAGCATTAGCAGGTATAGTCAGAGCTGTTGGGATAGCATGAAAAGCAACACCCGATGTACTATGTCTTTCAATAAGTCTCCAATACTTATTCCTCTTTACTTGCCTCAAAACAATGTTTTGTAATTCTAAATCAAATCCAAATGGATTGACTAATGATACCTTGAATTCAGATAACTCATTTTTAACAAGCATAACTTTTTGCTAATAAAAACAAAACAAAAAAAAAAATATTAAAAAAAAAAAAAGGATATGAAAATACACTTACTTCACTTTCTGTCTTTTTTGCGAAAGGATTATATATAAATGGGTCATTCGATGCTTCAGTGTTGCTTGAGTCAATGACTGTATCACTCTTGATTGGTTGAGCATAAACCGCTTTTCGAGAAATAGGCTTTTTTGCTTCGACATGAGAGACAATATTGACACCCCAATAATTGATGGAAGAAGTCTTGATTTTCTTATCTCTAGTTGAGTTCATGACAATGGCTTGAATTGTGGTTGCCAGCTTGATCTGTTCTGCTTTTGGTATGTATTGATACAAGTTTCTTAATAGAATGGTTGTATAGTAAAGTCGAGAACCATGGTCAATCAATGCTTCAGAGACAGAAATACATTGTTTAAGGATCTCTATCTGTAACTCTGGCCAACCCAACTGACACGCTGTATTGGTAGGTTTCAGGGTAGGTTGAGTCTGATCAAAAAGAGTACCTCTGTCTCGTACATGATGTTGGCCAACACCATAGATATCACACATACGTCTCAGGATCTCAAGCACACCTTGATCTGATACTGTGTTATTCTCTTTCAAGTTGGCTCTACGGTATTGTATCAAGAGCGGAAGCATACTCTGAATGCTTTTATGCATAGTATAGGCTGCCTTTCGATGGTAGCCAATAGAAGAATAAACACACGACATGGCATTCGTCAAAGATATCTATACAGACAAGTTGAATAGCTTATTCACCCACTCATTGCCATATACCTGGTCCAACAGCGCAAGATGTTCGAGTTGTATTTCCCATATTTTAGTGACCCATTCACCAATATCTGAGCGAGATACACCACTACCTTGTTTGAATTGACCTTGAGTTAATATTCCATGGTGTAATTGACCTTGTACGATCAAAGTGATGGTCTCATGGTTCCATCCACCGTTTAGATAGGCTGTTGTCAATATACGTGCAATTTTCATACATGCTTCTGCAAAAACCACATCAGGTACAGGAAAACTAGCTGTTAACATGACTCGACTATAATTGTGAATCAGCAGGCCATAATGTTCAGCCAACACATGCAGTGTTGAACGAGGCCCTTTAGCTGTAGTGGGTGTAGGCGGGAATTCAATCGTATCATCCACAACAGAATCACTCTGATAAGAGCCCATAGGTGTTCTGGAAACAATATGATCCATTTGCAAATACTCAAGTAAGACAGTAGCGCATAACCAACCTTCCATGGCACTGGCAAGCCATAGATAATCCGACGTCATCTTGGTCATCTCCATGGCATGCTCATAACTAGACTAAAAAAGTAAGTAGGTTTATTCATTGACTCTTGTTTTACGTTTACAAGTTGACAGCATCAGGCAATCGCCCTGCCAATAAGTAAAAGTCACCCAGCAGTTTTTTGATTCGACCACTGGTCCTTTTTTTTGTCCTACTGGTCTCTCCTGTGGTCTCAGATACGCGTGGTGATTGCAGAGGAAAAGAGGACCTTTTTGAGATAGAGGTATTTTGAGCGGATAGTGTTAAGGGTGGTTGAGAAAATCGAGGGTGTTCTCTCTGCTGAACTGGAATGTGACTAAGTCTCAGAGGTAAAGGAGACTCCAACATGGTTGTATTCTGAATGCGATGAGCCAATGTTCCAAACAATTCAAGTATGTCACTTGCAAAATCACACATCATAGTGCTCATATAAAAAGACATGTTGCCAACATTAGGAATCATGATTAAACCTTTTGTGTTGTCTTCTTGACTTTCTGAGGGATCAAAGCCAAAGCATCTTGTCACTACGCCTGCTGGATACTATTTCACTATAAAGAAGGTATTCTGCCTGATTCACTTACCATATCTAAATCCTTTTCAAATTGCTTATAGCCTTCATAAAGACCTTTTGTTTTCCATTCTTGACAATCCATGATGCCAATAATACCAAAAGCACGTCTATGTGGCTGAAATTCTTCCAGCTCTTGATGCTCACGAGTATAATGAGTCAAGAATTCAAAATGCATTTGACCTTCTTGAAAAACCTGGCTACTGAACATGGCTTTTTTTTTTTGATTTTGGTTACACATACATTATGCAGCAAATTTTAGCTTACCGCTGGCACCTTTTTTCAAGTCAGGCGTAACATCGCCCAGACGAACAAGACAAAAGGTTTTTAAGAGTTCAACATGTTTATCAAATGTTGATTTTTTTATAGGAGAGACTGGAATGAGTAAGACGCGTACTTTACAACTTGAACAGATATTTATATTTAAATCCATGAAGAAAGAGAATATTTCTAAAAAAAAAAACAAGAATACGATAGGAATGGTATACGTAGGCAGTAAAAATTGGAATTGTGTGACGTTACGCTTGTTTCCTTGCGCAATCATCTTTTGAGGCACGTGTTTTGATCTTTGTCGATTTGATTTTCTGCATAAAAATCCACAAATTGCGAACATGTGGCACTGTGTGGGAGAAGATTGGATTTTGCATGAGTGTAAATCAATCTCAATGACTGGTTCTTCTTTTTACTTCATAAGGAAATTCGTGTTGCTTCATAGCCAATCCTTTATGCTACGCTTAAATGCAAGTGATTGATTGGAAGGGAAACAATCCTATATAAAGCGATCTCTGTTTTTCTTTTTTTTCTCTCTTCTCATTTTCTATATACTCTTTATCTTACAATGACTACAAGCTTAGGTTCTCCTCCATTGCTGCCAAAAGAAGCGCTTGAACTCCCCTCTCTTTCTGCTACAGATGCTCCTGCTGACAAAAAAATACAGACAACTCCACCCAAGACGCCTCCTAGTGAGATTGCTAATCCATTGGCAAGTGATCATAAAGGACAAACGCGCCTTGTTTCTCAAGGTGAATTTGAACCAGAACAACACTTTTATCCCCGTGTCTTGAATGCTCAAATTCATCCCCTTATTCAAAGTTTCTTTACGTTGGGAAACGAACGTATCATTGCTCGTTACACACACTTGAACCCTCAAGTAAAAGTGGAAGACTTGAAGGAAATCTTATCTTATTCTCCTAAACATTTTCAATGGGCAGGTAAATACCCTTTATAGAAAACAAGATAGGGCTTCATTTCTTACTTTTTTTTTTTATGTCTAGGTTCTGATTTATTTAATGTTACCACTGCCTCTGGCCATCGTCAAATGATTGTGATCGAAACAAACTCTTGTCCCTCTGGTCAAAAATCCATGCCTCTCTTATCAGAAACAGATGAACACAATGAACAAGGCGGTTATCGCAACGTGATTGAGTCTGCTTTTCAAGACCAATTGTCCAAGGCAGACCCTTCTTTAGGTGGTTTGGCTGTCATTTGCGATAAGAACATGATGGAATCTAGTGGTTATGCTGCTGTATTGGCTGATGTTGCTAAAGAACATGTCTGGTTGGCTGAATGGCATGCTGACGACCCTGACCCAGGAGTCAAATGGGTTGATCGCGTCTTGTACATTCGTGATAAAGATCAAGGTAAATATCTTTGTGTATGCGAATAATTAAAAAAAAAAATTTTTTTTCAATAGTATGGCATCCTATTCGTGCATGTTTTCGTTATCTTACACAAAAGCCTTGGAATCGATTCCCTTTAAAGACAAAGACCATTGTCATGAACCAAATCATTAGCTGTCTGGCTGGTGGTCGTAACAAGATGATGGCAGCAAGGGCCTATGATTTCTATAACAAGGACATTGTTGGTACTGGTTTAAGTATCAAGACGCCTGAGACAATCAACAACGTCACACGAGGAGAAATACCGTTATGGATAAGCTCAATGGGAGGACATGCAGTATTAAAGGTCCCTTACAGCAATGCAGGACAAGGGGTTTATACCATCACCAATCAAACAGAACTAAATGACTTTATGAATCAAGACCATCATTATGACAAGGTAAGCAAGATATAAATAAAAAGGGTTAGTGTCTAATTACAGAATTCAAGTTCATTGTTCAATCCCTTGTTGGAAATGCTTCTTGGTCAAGTGTGACCACGGCTGGCAAATTCTACCATGTTGGTACTATTCCAAATAAGAAAAGCAACACATACGTGAGTGATCTTCGTATGATGGTGACAGGTAAAGAAAAAAAAATTATAAAGCCTCATAAGACTGATTTCATTTAAGGTAGTGCAAACGGCTTCCGCCCTATCTGTATTTATGGCCGTAAAGCAAGGCTTCCTTTGGCTGGAGAATTACCTCCTGATGCTAATACATGGGACATGCTTGGTACAAACTTATCTGTTAAGCTACCTGATGGAGGTTGGACAACAGATACTTCTCGACTGATCCTCATGGACCGCAAGGACTTTAATCAACTTGGTTTGGGTATTGACGATCTTATTGATGCTTACATTCAAACAGTCTTGGCTGTGATTGCTATTGATCGTATGGCAGTAAGATTGATGGCAAATGGTGAATTTGATTACAGCCTATTTGAAAGTCTCAACCCTGATAATGCTTTAATGAATGAAATAAGGCAAGCAAATGAAGACTTCTAATTCTATACATACATCCCTTACATACACACATACATATGCACATACATACATACATACATACAAAAAAACATATTTATACTATATACACACATGTAGATTAATGTTGTGCTCTCTCTTTATATTTTGTAAAGAAATATATATAATTATTCGAAATAGCTTCAGACTACTAAAGAGAAAAGGAGAGTTGCATAATATCATACTGTTTAGAATTGAAAGGGGGAAATTTGCATTGATTGTGTACATGAGTTTCTTTATTTCAATTCATTATTATACAATTAAAGATCTCGATTGAGGTTCTAACATCCCATCTAATAAACAAATATTCTCTTCTATGGGACAAGAGCATGGACTAAAATATGCAATAATCAACACAAAATACATTGTTTTCCTCATGATACACATAAAACCTCAGGTACACGATAAACAAGGCAAGATTTATTTATGGAAAAAAAAAGGAACAAAAAAAAAAAGACCAGGCTGGTTCCATTGTATAGCCTATAGGATTCAACACGTCTTGGCCAGGTTTAGTAATCCGATTGTTATTCGTACGTCTTTTTGTTTGACTCTAAATAGATAGACTAACTTGATCTTATGGCTTTTGCTTTAGGGTATGATATAAATAGTTTGCTATGCATAGGCTTGACCTGATAGCCTGTGTATAGCTAATATCTTTTTTCTCAAACATATCAACTGTTATTTTTATATTGTGACAAACGGCCAAGTTCTTTCTTATCTAGCATGATCTGGTTTCTTTCTTTCTTTTTTTTTTAACAGTGTCATCTTGGCTATGTTGAAATATATTGAATTTCGCCTTCAACTTTGACTTTGCGTTTGTTTTGCCTGTCAAAATGATTGAAGACAAGAGTAAGGATTGAAATAGTCATTTTTATTCAGTCCATGTTATAGTGCAACTGCTCTGTTAAAGATTAGGTCAGACCAATTTACGGGAGGTACTGCGAAATACGCATTTTTGATATCTTGTGTGATGGATGGAAAAAAGAAATTCATTTGTCTAAGCCCATGACAGCTCGTTTCTTTGACTATTGACTGACAGTTTGAACGATCATATAATGGGACTGATACTATAGCTAAGGTGATTCGAGTCTTGCTGAAAGCACTATTCTGGCGTATCTTTCCCACTAAACAGTTCATTTCTTCTCTCAGCAATTTACTTTCTCATGCATAGAGAAACGAAGGCCATCAATAACAAGGTTATTATTTATTATTTATAGAGATAGACACAACAGCTAAATAATGCTACTTCCTAAGACATCATCTAATCCTTAACTTTTCCTTATGGCTGATTTTCTGTTTCCATGATGACGATGACGTTTCATGTTTTGTCCGGCTGGATTGGCCTGACCAAATGTCTCTAGATTGAGCTTGCTCTCTTCTTTGTGTTTTCCACTACGACTACTAAAAAAAGAAAAAATTAGAAAAAGATGATAATGTTGTAGTTATGACTTTACCCATTTTGATATTCTTTTGATTCACAAGAGATATCATCAAAGAAACTCTTTTTCTATTGACAAAAAGAAAAAAGTTAAATGTTGTTCGTATCTCTGTCATCCTTATATATACCTTGTCATAGAAAAGATCCGTCTCCTGAATAATTTGAGTAGCGTCGCTTTCAGTATCCAATGAACTGCTCTCCTTCAGGCCACGCTTATCAAATTTAGCATTGGCTGAAGCGAAATCAAAGTCAAACTTGGGAATAACAATACCATGGCTATTGCGTCGATGGTTATGATTGTTTCGACGTCCACTATGATGGCGCTGTCCGTTCGAGCTGTTTGATATCATATTGCCATTGGCTTGAGCGGAACGACGTGTATGAGAATGACTTGTGCGTCTTTGATCGCTTTTTCCTTCACTTGTCTTTAATTGTGCCTTGGCAGGTTTCGGTTCTTTGGTTGCTGTGGGCTGTTTGATATCCAGATCCGATACTTGTTTGACTAAAGAATCAACAAGAGCTTCATCTACGTGTTCAATCGTGACTATTTGTTCTTTTTCTTGAATGATAATAGAGTTTTTTTCTGGGGAGAAGGGCTGTTGCTTTTTAGGTGAAGATGGGATTGATTTTTCTTCTTTTTGCAAAGATGTATTGACTATAGACTCTTCCTTATTGTCTAAAGTAGTAGCAGGGACATTGGTTTGAATGGATGTGACTGGAACGTCATTGGGAGTGGATATTTGATAGTTTTCAGGAACAGGCATTGGGAAGTGTGGTTGGCATAAATAGGGCGATTGTTGAACAGGATAGGCTGTGGATTGCCAGTAATTGTTGCCGTAAGGGTAAGCAGACATGTTTCCTCTGTATTGTTGGCTTGGGTAATAAGGCGAAAGATAGGCAGGAGTTGCCTATCGTGTTCCTGTTAGTTTGTGTGGTTAACTTGATATGAATGTATTTACCATACTGGTCGTTGGATCGTGTTGTTGAGCATGGACTTGCTGAGGTTCGGAAGAAGATTGGAAAGAAGGAGGAGCCTCAAACACTTGAAGGTCTTTTATATCTGAACCACGAAACACGACATAATCAAATACATGCTCAGAAGCAGGAATTTCTTCTTTAGGACTCCCCTTACGTCCTTCAGTACCATATGACTTGACTGGATAGAGTTTCTTATGAGCACACGCGTACAATGTTTATTTTTTGAGGATACATTACCATTTTGTAAAGCTACAGTAGACTCAACAGGATTGATGTTGTGAAGGATACCGACATATCGTATATCACTCAAACTAATGAGCTGTGCAATGCAAGTATGAATAAGATAGAGAATTGAACAGACATTTTGTATAACTTACCGAGATTTTTGAACCAATATAGTTCTGGCCGCTCATTAATTATTAAGCACTTGTTTTTTTTTTCACTTACTCTAGTGAAACGAAAGCAATAAAGGTATAAAAGAAAGAGAAAGAAAGGTAGAGGAAAAAAGGCATTGGGGAATACACTTTCATATAACCAGTTTGTGTCATGATGTGACTGTGATAGAATGCACGTTTTTATCGTTTATTCAGGGCGCTCTGGATATGGATTTGGCCATATTTGTCAGTGATATCAGGTTGTCCAATTGACTTACTCAAGTCAACAAGTAACATCAATAAAGCACTGTTTGAGAACATCAAACTTTGTAAATCTTAAAACGATGTCAAGGCTCTATACCGTCTAGAGTTTCGTATCAAAGTCTTTTGTGTTTGGGTGATGAGACAAAAGACCAGCCAATAAGATAATGTCTCTTGGTGGACAAATTCATGCATGATGAACCCAGATAAAAAAAAAAAATCAATAAATGAAATTTATCAATAAGCCTCAGCTGTGCTTCTTTTTTTTACTCAAGAAAAATTATTTCTTCCATCATTCTCTATTTTGCTGACCACAAACCATGTCTCGTACAAAAAAGTATTGAAAATAATAAACAAGAAAGCAAGCTCAAAAGGATATTGCGTAAGTAGCTTTGTAAGCCTCAGTAACTGGTTTGAAACAAGAAAATATCTTTTAATGTCTCAAACGAATAGATTGTTATTGTCTCCATTGTTCCTGAAATGGCTTTTTTTTTCACTCCTAAACCTAGGAAAAGAGCCTTTCTATGCAAAAAAAAAGAAGAAGAAAAGAAAAACCTCTAAAGCTAGATGAGTTCAGAAGGCTTGCGATTCTGTTGAAAGTGTGGGTTATGAGTGGTGTATCAACTTTTTTATCTTGACGAAATACATGTTCTTGGACACTCGTTATTTGGACCCCAGAAAAATTCGAAAGTGATGACGCACAAGTTGAAAATTAAACTCATTTTGCAGCAGGGTAACCAAAATTTGCTACCTCTTGTTACCTTATACCTGTTATCCTGTATTGTTACCTCAAACTGTTACTTCCCCATGTTACCTGATTCAGAAAATCTTTGGTCTTTTACTTTATCTAAGAAATATTCTCCTGGCACTGACCTCATGAGCAAGTGGATTCTAGATGACAAACGCGTAATAAACATCATTGTTACAAAAGTTGTTGGTAAGTATAACCGTAGAAATTGAAAAGATTTAGGAATAATCATTAACTACTATTAACTTTTAGGCGAAGCTGCAAGAGACAAGTATACCACCAAACCAATAGAATGGCCAAACTATACGAAATCAGATGCCCTTTACTGCCCAATCAAGAGAAACGAGCTTGAAGATCTTCCTCCAATCTTGATCGAAGTACAACACACCGCAAATATGAACTTCTATAGAAGACTCATGAAGTATTCTTTATTAGTTTGGGAGCAATACTCCGTGTTACCAATCGTGATAGCTATCTGTGTTCACTATACTTCCAATGAACTTCTTGAAATGAGTTCTGTTTCTGAACGTATATCTTTTATGAAGGAATTGCCTTCACATGGTTGGGCCAGGTCTTGCCTTTTGATTAACAAAAAATCAATCCTGAACTTCGAAGATGAAACCCCTTTGGAACCAATTGTTGCTCTTGCTCATTTCTTTGTTGAACAAAAGACTTCTTTGCTTCATATCAAAAGACATGATGATGCTACTGTTCAATTTCTTTACAGTATTACTAAACGTATATTTGAAGGTGAACTCGCTGCTGATAAAAACAAAAATGATGCTTTGGAAGAAGTTTGCGATGAATCGTATAACCAATTAACTATGGCCAAGAGGTTATTAGCTGAAGATGTTTCTGATGACGCCGCTCGCAAACGTACTATCGATTGCCTTGATAACGGTATTAAATTTATAAATGATTTCAAAAAGAAACACAAGCTCGGCCCTTATTCTTCTGACGCGACAAACGAACCTACTGCTAGTTCAGTTGTTCATGTTCAGAAAATAAATCCTGATTGGCAATTTGTTGACTCTTACCGCGAAGAAAAAGGTAAAGATATGGACTGGAGCAAATGCTTCGAACTTGCAAAAGAAAAAGGACTATTTAAAAAGTACACCAAGATGGATAGCGCAAAAGCAGCTTACTTTCGTGCCAAAAAATGAATAAAAAATATTTGTTTTTGCTATCATTCTTATTTTTGTCGTCCCCATAACCTCTCATCAATTACAAACTTCTGTAAAATGCGTTGGATCTTAAATAGACAATATTGTTGTTAACGGTGTCTTTGGCAGTGCATCAACCGAACCCTTTAGTGTTCATACGTATCTTTTCAGCTTTTATAAATCTTTCACTATCGATAATGACTCAAGAAAGTCATTCTAGTCATGGTATTAATAGAAATTGGTTACTTTTTTTTTTTTTTCAGGATTGAATGACATCTTAGAGATCAAAATGGACTACATTACTGACAATGAGTCCGAAGAGCAAAAGGAAGATGTAACCTATCAATACGGCGACATTGAAAGGATAATCAACTTCGATTCAGTTACTGAAACCACATTACCGAAAATTTAAAAACTGTATCGATTGATGACGATAAGAGAAAGTACAAAAAGCACACTCCCGAGCAAGTGTGTATGTTCATACAGATAATGTAAGACGAAGGCACCACTGTATCTAAAACAGTAGTAAGTTGCAATATTCCAAGACAAAGTGCTTACACCCTGCTCAAGGAGTTCAACGCTAACAACGACAGTGTATTGCCTGGTTTTGCTCCGAAAGCGAAAATAGAAGTATAAAGCAGAAGCTTTTTTCGACCCAGTACCTTGATAGCAACAAGTCTTCAACACTTGGATTAACTAAAGAAGCTCTTTTAAAACAATTTCCAGACTTGGATAATATTTTTATTCCCCTCTGTGGAAGCATGTAACAATTGAGTATGCTTTTTTCCTTGAAAAGGGCATCTTTATACAATGACGAAAGGGATGTTGAAAGGACACTTCGTCTTCGTTATGAGGCGGTAAATAAATGGAAGGAAATAGGCGTCGACTTTCGAAAGAATTGCGTATTTGTGGATGAAGCTGGTTTTAATACGTACATGATAAGAGGTCGAGTGTGGTCTAAGTAGAAGAATCAGCAAAGTTTACTGTTCACAAACAAAAAGGTGCTAATATTAGTATTGTTGGATGCATAGCAAATTTTGAAACGGTCAATTCTTCCAAAGTTGACTCTTTAACAAAGGCCGATGCAAAAAAGCTAGAACAGGAGTATTCAAACCCTGCCAAAAAAAAAAAAAAAAAAAAAAGAGAAGCAAAAGAGCCTGGAAAGAAACAGCTTTTAAAAAAGGGAGTACCACGGCTTATCATATTGTGAAGCCCTTGGAAATTGTAATAGTCACTCTTGATAGGCGCAACAAAAAAGAATTCTTTATCCTAATGGATAATAGCAGAATTCATCAATCCGCATCTGTTGTTGATGCTATCAATAAAAGAGGTTACAAACCTTTGTCCAGGCCCCCCGTACTCTCCTTTTTTGAGCCCTATCAAAGAATGCTGATCAAGAATAAAGAGCAGTATTAAAAGGAACCCACTTGAGAAAGCAGATACATTGACATCTCGCCTTCCTGCAGCTTGTGGATCAGTTACTGTTCAGGATTGCCAAGATTGGGTTAAGTATGCTGAGATATTCTGGGTTAGGTGCATTGACAATGAACTAGGCTTAAGGTAAATGTTATCGATATATGTTATCTTTTTTTCCCAAATGTTTGTTTCATTTGCACCTCATATAGTGCAATAATAGTCGCAGATACAGTATTTCTACTTTGAATTCAGACGATGTTAGTTTTTTTTCTGGACGAATCAAAATTAATTTCCAGATGTTTTTCTTACCTATTTTGGACGAAATAAAAATGGAAATTGAACAGAAAGAGAAGAATTATTAGAGAAGGTACAATAGCATGTTAGATGATTTTACTTATAACAGTCTTAATTCCCAAAGGAAATACCGTGTTCATTACGGCGATTACTGCTTTTCTTTTTAATTTCTCTTGAATCGTTCTGGACGGCCTTCACCCTTCCAAATTGACTTAGCAATGTTCATCATATTCAAACTAGCGTTGATGTCACGCTGCCATAATGTTCTGCACGTCTTGCAAACGAGAACACTATTACCGCACGCACCACTAATACCACCCAAAGTCCTGCTTTCACATTTGGAACATATTTGGGACGTCAAATATTTATCAATGTCCACAACGAGTAAGTCACCAGTCCTCTCTCTCTTCTTTTCAACGTTCTGTATAGAAGACCAGTGACACCAGTCCGAACCGTTTTCATCTCCACATGGTTCTTCCCAGACATGCCACTACCAGATACTATCAGTGGTACCTTCTGTTTGTACTGAAAGAAATTGCTTTCTCCAAGTACCATAAACTTATGAGTATAAAAATTATCGTAGCCATGCCCAAGTAACTTTTTACCTTGTTTTTATTGTTTTCAGTGCCATTTTTCTCTTTCCTTTATCCTTCTTTCCAGACTTATTCCCCTTCTTTTTCCACTTCCCTTTGTTCTTTGCTCTTTTTCGTTTGTTTCCTCTTGACTTCTTGTTGTATTTCTTGGTACCATCTAGCAACATTTTCACCATTTGCTCCGGCGCTCGTTGGCGACCCTGGTATAAGAAAAAGGTTTCTTTTGCAGTTTCTTGATTGTAAAAACTGAAAATACGACTAATGTTTTCGAGCATATAAATGGCATACTCCATATACAGTGATTCATTGGCAGTCTTATTGGTGGGTATATTTGTTTCAATCGTCTTAATACCGCATGCTTTCTTTTTCTTCTGTTGCTCTGCTGAGAATCTTGTAGAGCCTGTCAAGTGGTAATATTCCTTGATGGAACATTGTCTGAAGTCGTTTATATTACCACTTGAACCAGCAAATGCAATGAAAACCCTTTTTCTTCCTGGATCTACGGCTATTGGTAAATAGTGGCTGTCAACTTCATGCTGCCCAAAATCATCCAGGATCAGATCAACTTGATTGATTTGCTCGGTAAAACGTTTTCCTCTTATTGTTCGTTTGTTAAAAACGAAATGAACAGAAAAACCGTCTGATCTGATCAGGTTACCAAAGAGCCTCTTATTTGTTCCAGTGGGTAACAAAGATTCAACCCTAATAATAAGCATATTTTAAATAACTATTATATAAAAACATTTCTTTACAACTATATATTTACGATTTGATTCTAAGCGGTTTAAAATCAAATACCTTGTAAAATAAATGCAGCTGATCATTATACCCTCTGGGGAGTGGTTCACCAGGAAGAAATGCTGCTAATACATTGACTGAAATTGTCACTGATCGCCAATGGTATGACGGTGAAGGGAATACATTGAACAGCCTTGGTAAAGGAAGTCTTCTAACGTCAAACGCTTTATAGGACTGATGTTCCCTTTCAAAGACAGCCAGTATATGAAATAACAGAGGAACAAAAAAGCCAGGGTTATCAGCTAATGATTTTATACTAACTCTAGCATCGAGTTTGTTTTTAAGTGGCAGGCATAGTTCATCGATTCTTCGTTTGATCATAGGGTCTTCAAGTGATTTCTGTTCAGGCCACACCGCTTCACCTTGGCAGACATATTGATATCCATATTTTATAACAATATCATCGACATCCTTCGGAGCCATGGACTATATACATAATATTTAAGTATTTAGAGTAAATGGATGTGATTATTAGCTCTTGCAACAAGAATAATTTGAATTTGATATTGCAAAAATCTTCTCAACATATTTTCAAGTCTTTCTACAACTGCATTCTCGTAGGTGGTTGCCAGCTCCTTGCAGGCCTCAGTAATGCACTGGCTAGCTCCTCCAATAGCAGATGGAAAACTTAATTTTTCTTTAATAAGATGAATCTCGTTAAAAAAAACATCATAACAGACAAGTCGATCTAACTATTGTTGATGATCTGGTATAAATGACTTTAAATAAAAAAAGTATATTATCACAAATAAATCTTTTCTCATAACAAGAACATTTGTCATATATTATTATTATTATCATTATGCCAGCTAGTCATAGTTTGATAGCAATAGAACTGAGTTCATTCTAAACAATGATATAGCTGAATCAACATTTACACTCCTACGGAATAGAGTCATATAATCCAGAAACCAGTAAACAGATCTCATCTTGAATGATAAATAACTGTAAAGATGGTTCGCAAAGTATATTTTACTGAAAAAGCCAATACTCTTACTCCATCTAATATAACCTTCAGCTCATCAAGTCCTATCTCAGGTTACATCTAAGGACATAATCCAAATCACATATAAACCTAGAATATAAATATTTATAAACGGTCTCAAAGTACTTCCTACGCATCTCTTTATTTTTTTTATAATTTCTATATTCAATCTTTTTATTTAAAAAGTCCCAAAACACCACAATAATCAGTCATTGTGATATTGCTTCTCTAACAATTGATTTCCCTTTACAGATAAATGTCTAAATGTAAACTCTCATTCATCCAAAAAGCTAATTCTTTTTCTGTTTAATTTCCATTTTATTTCGTCCAAAATAGGCAGAAAAAACATCTGGAAATTAATTTTGGTTCGCCCAGAAAAAAACTAGCATCGTTTGAATTTGGTGTAAAATCAGTATTTGCTTATATTTCAATAATAGCCTATTGCATATTCCCAATATTATACCAGCAAAAGCTACTAGAACTGAGTATATTACTAGTATCGCCTACTAGGGCTGAGTATATTACTAAGGGTGTGTGTCATATTATGAAAAAATAACGCGAACTCTTTATTACTTTTCTTTACAGCTAAGCTAGTATGAGGTAACGGATTGTTTGTCGTACCTATAACAATCTCAGTTTCCTCCATCTCAGCTCCTAATGTAAATGCTCTTAGATCCACGCTTTATTTTTAATATATATGAAATAACCAATAGAATTTCCCTTTCTTCCCTATATCTTTCAAAGCCGCACACCGTGGATTAAATTATGAGTGAATCAACCAAAACGCAAATATTAATGAAAACAATGGATACATTACAACAGACCAAACCGTCGAACTGTTTAGACGATTGGAGATTGAAAGACAAACACAACGAGAAGCACAATACCAAGGAACACCATTACCAATGGAAATATCACAAAATCTAGATAACTCGCCAAATTATATACTCAAAGAATTTAAACGATTCAAGAGACATATTGCAAAATACACACACGAGCCTTGGACTCAACAAGAACAAATCAATAAAGACCTTATCCCTGAGATCAAGAGACATAAAACAGATACATTCCAGGTCATCAACACTATCTAAAAATGTGCTGAAAACACCAGAACACAAGCAAGGGCAGCCACTGAGATTTATGAGCAACTCATTTTATTACAACAGACAATGGTTTTTAAAAATGAAGAGCAGCAACAAATCTTTGCAGGAATCATCGACCAAACTTGCAAACTCGCAATATTTGGATATGGAACAGCAAAATTCCAAGATAAAGAAGTCAAAGAATTTGCAACAAAAGCATTACATTTACCAGCAAGCATGCAACATGTTGGACGAACAGATGACGAACGCACAGCCAATGCATCCGATGAAGAATTCATTGCAGATTTACACCAAGCCAGGTTCCAACAACGAATCATTACAAACGCTACATCCAACCAAGGCCATAGCAATGTATATAATCATTCAAAATTTAACAGAGGATATTTCAGAGGTAACCAAAGAGGTTTTCAAGACAATATCAACATAATGGACTTTTTCAGTCGAGAGGGAAAGGTCGTGAAGACTTCTTCCCCTCAACAAACAACGCTCAGCCCTTCACAAACAACAACGTTGCACTAAGACTTGTGTAATCAAAAGCTAGGGACAATAGCTGATGCTTATACACTTACTGATTGGTTGAAGTCAAGAGGTAAACACTAAACCCAAAAGGATGTAAATGTGTATACAGAGATCAGGTTTTTGGGTTTACTGATTCTCAATACATAAATACTTGTACTCCGGGGTACCTGTATACACAAAGGGGAAAAAGAATGCTTAGTGTCCGCCTTCTATAGTAGCATTCATGCATACAAAGACAGAAGACGAGCCATCTTTTGTCTCAAGATCAGGTTTATCATTGCCTGATATTCTGTTCAAGAGAGTGATTAACTCTTGTTCAGAAAAAAAAATACATTTGTTCAAGTCTAGTCAACCTGTTCAAACTACTGAAAATACTTGTACTTTGGGGTACTTGTACATACAAAGGGGAAAAAGAAGGCATGGTGTCACTTTCTAGACTGAAACTGGTGTTTCTCTATCGACAAGGCTTTCTCTCAGGTGTCTCCAAGATTACTCAACAAGTCTCAAGGTCAATCAAGAATGGCTCTCATGGCTCAGAGGATATCTAGTAAGTATCTTCCAATGGTATTAAAAGTATAATACACTAAAGTCCTTTTGTATAGGTGTTTCCAAGGTTGGTCATCAAGGTCTGTTACTGATTCAAGGCTGTCTCCCTTTGGTTCTGGCTCTCTTTGACGTTTCAATGTATCCATTCAAGGCTTCGAGAAGTTTTCGCGGTATTGGTTCCCTTTGGTTGAGTCTTCTTTTTTTCTGTTTAAGGGTCTGATCAGCTCTTATCGAAGCAAGGAGAGGATTTGGTTAGGCTTGATCACCCTGATCAAATCCACAATATATTGGTGTTGTGTATATCAAATTCCCTTTTGGTTTTTACTAGCGTGTTCTCCCTCCTTCCAATCTCTACTTTTCTTTTTGTTTCGTTGTTGTGGTTTAACTGTTGAAAAAGTAGGTACATTTCTTCGTTTATGTTGTTTTTCTTTTTAGACTGAAGAAGGTTTTGTCTGGTGTCTTTAATATAAGTAATAGTTGTCTTTCTTGTTTTACAGTCAGTATTTGTGGTTGACTAGATCTTGTGTTTGCGCATTGTCTATTCATCTTCAGTTATTGACAAAAACAATCTTGAATAAAAGCAATGGGTTGAATCCACTTGTACAACTGCTTTATCCACTCACGTCTGTTGCTTTATTGTTGTCTTTTATTCTTAGTACGAGTTGACTAAAGTATAGTTCACTTATTAAACTACAGTGATGTTCCTTTCGATACGCTATGACATTATGTTTCGCTTTTACACATCTGCGCCTAGTCTTTGTAACAACTGGATCAAGACGCGAATGTGGTCTGTAAATGTCAGTAAAGCGGAAAAAAAAGAAAATGATATTCAAAGATATCATTGGAGATTGAACCACATTACCATCCTCTTACTAATAGCCCAGCGGTAACAAAATCCGTTACCTCACAATAGCCCAGCGGTAACTAAAAAAAAAAAATAAAAAAAAAAATAAGAGGTAACAAAATCCGTTACCTCATAATAGCCTAGCGGTAACAAGGTCCGTTACCTCTCACAATAACCCAGCGGTAATTAAAAAAAAAATAAAAAAAAAAAAATAAGAGGTAACAAAATCCGTTACCTCATAATAGCCTAGCGGTAACAAGGTCCGTTACCTCTCACAATAACCCAGCGGTAATTAAAAAAAAATAAAAAAAAAAAATAAGAGGTAACAAAATCCGTTACCTCATAATAGCCTAGCGGTAACAAGGTCCGTTACCTCTCACAATAACCCAGCGGTAATTAAAAAAAAATAAAAAAAAAAAAAATAAGAGGTAACAAAATCCGTTACCTCATAATAGCCTAGCGGTAACAAGGTCCGTTACCTCTCACAATAACCCAGCGGTAATTAAAAAAAAAATAAAAAAAAAAAAATAAGAGGTAACAAAATCCGTTACCTCATAATAGCCTAGCGGTAACAAGGTCCGTTACCTCTCACAATAACCCAGCGGTAACATCACCCCCTCCAGAATGAACTCATCTTTGATGGTTGTAAACGGCTTCTTACAATGTGAACATCTAGGCTTGGTATAACATTACTTGACATAAAAACGATTTAGAGTTTTTGCAATTTGTGTTCTTCAAAAGGAAAATAGTTTTCTTCTCTTTCATGTCACTTAGCATTTAATTCTTTTGCTAGCTCTTCTAATTGTGGATAATTTCTCTCTACTTTGTCTAGTAGGATAGTTTCTTCTCTTTGTTCCTGTCTTGTGTAGTACATCATTCTTATTCTCTTTGTTAGATGCAGATTTATCGCTTGATTTTGATTCAATGCGTTCATGCTCTAATCTTTTTAGTTTTTCAACTTTATCCCAGTAGCGATTGATGATTGTAGGATCTTGGAAACTAGATGCAGACTCCCAAGTGTTAGCTCTTTCACCAAAACTAGTCTATTTAACCAAGTACTCTTGTCTTCCTGGCTTGCCACGATGATCACGAATATCTTCTATTTCAAAGTATCCTTCTTCAATGGTTGACTCATCAATGGTCACAATCTTCAGTTCTGATGGTGTATAATTACGATGCAATAATTCATTTTGTTCGTCTTTTAATTCATATGAGCCACCTTTGTTTCTTCTTACAACAGTATAGGGGCCTTCATATAATGGAGACAGTTTACTCGGTCTCTTTTGCAGTCTTACCATAACATGTGTTCCGGGTTCAATATCAACAAGTATGTTCTTTGTATTGAACTTCTTAGTATATTCCTCATTTATCTTTTGACTTCTTTCAAAGATAGCAGGAAAGACAATCTCCTCCATGTGATCAATGCGCTGCTCAAGATCATCGCGCGTCATCATATCTTTGGGAAGTGGATATTTGTTCTTTTCTTCATAGTTTTTAGGTAAGCCGACTCTGCGTGAAAACATCGATGAGAAGGGTGAGCTCAACATCTTATTCTTGATAGCGTTGTTGATAGAAAGCTGGACTACTGGTAAGTAGTAATCCCAGTCTTTGCTATTCGATTGACACATCTTTCTCAGTGTGTTTTCAACAATCTTTACACTGGATTCAGCACTTCCATTTCCTCTAGGATGATAGGGAGTGGAGTATCTGCGATCAATGCCGAGCTTTTTCGAAATAGATTCAAGTAACAAGTTATGGTATGCTCTGCCATTGTCGGACTGTAGGATACGAGGAAATCCATAGTCTCCAAAGATCTGCATCAATGTATGAGCAATGGTATCTGATTGTTGGTTCTTAAGTGTTCGGACAATAATATATTTTGAACAAATATCAGTCAAGACCAAGATTTCAGTATTCCCATTTTCAGTTACAGAAAAAGGACCTGCAGAATCAACAGATACATGATCAAAGGGTTGCAATGCAATAATGCTTGTCAGTGGATGGTAACCTCTTTTTGCTATATTATGCTTTTGGCACTCAGGACATGAACTTACTAGTTCCTTGGCTTCTTGATACATATTTGTCCAATGAAGTCCTTGAGAGTGTAGTTCACGCACTATAACATGGCTGCCAAAGTGTCCAAAAGTATGTGCATCACGCAAGAGCTTTTCTCTTTCAGTCTCAGGCGGTGTAAAATAATCAAGTGGTTCTTTAGTTTGCTCAACAAGTTGCGTGGTAAGAACATGCAGGTTTTTATCTCTGCTATATTTTTTCCTGCAAATAGCAGCTCTTTTTATTTTGGCAGCTTGTCCATTTCGCTTTCGATTGCCAGTGCTACCCCCCTACCAGTTTGTGATCACCTTCGAATTGGTCGAGAGGGGAATACAAACGACTTAATAAATCTGGCAGTTTAAGAAGGATACCAGGAATATGCACAGCGTCAAAGTCAGAAGTCAGAAGTCAGAGTTTCTTCGTATCAATTCAACATCATATTGTTGCAATCTTGTTGAGTATGCATATAGACCAATGCTTTGTGATCCGTGTGCAATGTAAATCGGCGTCCCCAAATATATTGATGGAAGCGACGAAAAGCCATCAGAGCACCATATAACTCACGACGAGTAGCACTCCATCTGCGTTGTGAGGGTGATAGAGCATTGGACACAAAGCTAATATATTTGTCTCTAGTGTGATCCAACGGAAGGAATTGTATAAGCTGAGCTGCTGACATAATAAGCTTCTTATCCATACGATCATCCAAGGTGCTTGCTAAGCTAAGTAGTGAAGCAGCTGCATTGATCCGCTCAATGCTTCGATTGTATACGTTTTGAGATACTTCGATGGCTTTCAGCAAAGCTTCTCCAGAGAATTTATGCGTCATATTCAGGGAATCAAGACTACTTTTGCGAGCTCAGTGATATACCTTGTCACCAAAGAACCAAACCATATCTTTGTGTAGTCGGTTGTTGTTTTGTAACAAGAGTATTAATGATAACGAAAGGATCAAATGAACATCAGATTCCATAGTCAAGTGATTATGTTTCACGAAATTATAGACATATTTCTGCATGTTATAGAACCTTTCTGAGATGTCTATTTGTTCAACGTAGAATCGATCCTGACCTGGGATGCGCAATGTCAAAGACAATGGCGTTGATTTATTTGCAGATAAACTGCGAGTGTTGTTTGTATCAACTGAATTGGGAACTTTGGCAGCAGGAGAGGGGGCTTCTTTATTATATGTCTTTTTTATGTGGATAAAACTTGAGTAAATTTCGTTCCAGATAACAGTGCTATATCGCCTCCCTTTTGGTGGCTTCTTCTTTTTTTTTTTTTTTTTTTTTTTTTCTTTTTTGGTTTTCTTAGCCTCCTTGTATGCAGCGGCAAATCTTTCAAACCAAGCTCCATGTAGATCAGTAACAGAAGTAGCATCTATTTGCATTGACCATCCGGGTATTAGCTCCTTATATTTTGATGCGAAAGAAGAAAAACTCGGGTTCTTGTTTTTTTGATATATAGTTTTCAAGGTCTTCTAGGCCAAAATACTTCATGATGAAAAGTGCAGATTAGTTAGAGCAGAAGACATACCTGAATAGAAAGGGGGTTTCGATTTGCTCTGCGACTTATTCACATACTAATAGGTTTATGCAAACGGTGTATAATGCTGGAATCCCCAAGGATGATCCTCGTATGGCAGGCAGATCTTTGGCATCTCTTACCGCACAGGTACAGGCTCTCGCTCCTCTTGCATGCATAAATGTACTGGGCAGGCAAGAGGAGGAAAATAACTCGTGGATGGTGGAAAACATTGCTGATATTGCTCGGGATATACTGGGTGATGATGTGGTCAACTATGGCTCCATTACTGCTGTGTTCTCTGCTGGTGCTGGCTCTCTTCTGTCTTCGTCTACTAGTGGCTCAGAGGATAGTGAAAGAAGAAGTCATCTTCAGAAGAAGCAAATAGAAAGAAGCACACCGTACAGCAAGACTGTTAAGACCTACTTTTGCAAGATGCACGGCTCCAATCCCACCCATGGCACTGAGAATTGTTTTACCCTTAGCAAAAACAAGAACAACAGAAAAAAATGTTGTGAGATGAAGAGAGAATAGATATAAAATAAGAGAAAAGGTAAGAACACAGACAAAGTCCGTTAGAACTTGTATAGGCTTTTATTTCCCAAAAGAAATGTTATCCTTTTCAATTGCTATAAAATATCGGGGTATTTATACTTTTTCTTCTTGGTCAAAATATTGTTTTGGGGTTAGCTTCTTGACTACGGATTGATTTGTCAGATCAGGAGCAATTAAGAGAAATGCCTTTAGAGGAAGTTGTCAGCTCAGACAATAGTACATGATCTGACCTGAACTTGAATAAACTATTACATGTTTGTCAAATGCCAATGCCAATGCTAATGTATTTGTCAGCTCTAACTGTCACTTTATGAGGGCCATTAATAATGACAGAGTCACTAGGTTCATAGTCTCTGACTATGAGGAGGATGTAGTACTTCTAGTAGAATGAGTGAATGTCAGTGACTATAGATCCATTGCAATTGCCATAGATGTGATTTGGTCTTTTGCCATGATCATCATGTATTGGTCTATGCATATAGATTCATATATGTTCACAACACACATGCGGATTCAATTTCACAAGAAAAGGTGCTGAAAGTTTTCATGAATGCAGTCACCAAACAAGCTCCGCCTCTAGCAATCCATCGTCCAACAATCGACTTAAAACCAAGTATACAATTCGTAGCCAAGATCGACATCAAGCGTTGTTCCTTGGCAGATCTGCAAATTAAGACTGCGTTTTTGGTAGCAATGGCAGCCTTTCTGCGACCATTGAACTTACAGAGAATATCTCTTTTATCCGCAACTCGGGACAACCAGGGCAACTTATTATTTGATATTGTGGTACCTAAAGAAACTAGACAAGGCAGACGAATTATCAAACCAGTACTTATTCATCCCCATCAAGTTTCGGACATTTGTCCAGTGTTATCTTTTCAAGCATTAAAAGATCATCCGGTGGCAAAAGTCAAACGCCAGCCTGACGTTTTATTCGTCAACACCAAGCGTCCTCAACAAGCGGTCAAAACTACCACCATCTCTTCTTGGCTGAGAAAGGCACTACGACAGTCTACAAGCGAATCAGGAGTCAGTGTACGCTCCATTGCATCCTCTATTGCGTTAAAACAAGGAATATCTTTTGACGATATGCAGACGCTGGACAACTGGGTTGATTCAAAAACATTTCAGAACCATTACCGGCGGGAACACTTATCGACGGTGGATTTTACCAACCAAGTACTGGGAGCAAATCTACCAATGGTTCAGCTTGATGAAGGCTCTAACAATGATGAAGAAAACCAGGAGTTTTTCGATGCTATGGAAGGTTTTTGATGTTTCTTACGCTGGAGCAGCAATTTATGTTTACTGTTCTATGTTCGAAGGTCTCAATACATTCTTGAGAGAAATTTATTTCGACCTTGAATTACGAGGTAACGAACCTTGTTACCGCTAGGCTATTATGAGGTAACGGACCTTGTTACCTCTTATTTTTTTTTTTTATTTTTTTTTTAATTACCGCTGGGTTATTGTGAGAGGTAACGGATTTTGTTACCGCTAGGCTATTATGAGGTAACGGATTTTGTTACCTCTTATTTTTTTTTTTTTATTTTTTTTTTAATTACCGCTGGGTTATTGTGAGAGGTAACGGATTTTGTTACCGCTAGGCTATTATGAGGTAACGGATTTTGTTACCTCTTATTTTTTTTTTATTTTTTTTTTTAGTTACCGCTGGGCTATTGTGAGGTAACGGATTTTGTTACCTCTTATTTTTTTTTTTCATAGAACTTGTCAGGCTTTTTCTTTTTCGAACCCGTCTTTTATTTTTACACTTTTGTCAAAATAAGGTCCATATTGTCCAAGTTGCCCGAAATCTTGTTCAGTTGACCTACAGAGTTGGCAGAGTAGTGACTTTTAACCTTGTAGCTGCGTCTGTTCAGTGTCTTGTTTCTTTGGCGCTGTTTGGATATAACGTTGCACTAAGACTTGTGTAATCAAAAGCTAGGGACAATAGCTGATGCTTATACACTTACTGATTGGTTGAAGTCAAGAGGTAAACACTAAACCCAAAAGGATGTAAATGTGTATACAGAGATCAGGTTTTTGGGTTTACTGATTCTCAATACATAAATACTTGTACTCCGGGGTACCTGTATACACAAAGGGGAAAAAGAATGCTTAGTGTCCGCCTTCTATAGTAGCATTCATGCATACAAAGACAGAAGACGAGCCATCTTTTGTCTCAAGATCAGGTTTATCATTGCCTGATATTCTGTTCAAGAGAGTGATTAACTCTTGTTCAGAAAAAAAATACATTTGTTCAAGTCTAGTCAACCTGTTCAAACTACTGAAAATACTTGTACTTTGGGGTACTTGTACATACAAAGGGGAAAAAGAAGGCATGGTGTCACTTTCTAGACTGAAACTGGTGTTTCTCTATCGACAAGGCTTTCTCTCAGGTGTCTCCAAGATTACTCAACAAGTCTCAAGGTCAATCAAGAATGGCTCTCATGGCTCAGAGGATATCTAGTAAGTATCTTCCAATGGTATTAAAAGTATAATACACTAAAGTCCTTTTGTATAGGTGTTTCCAAGGTTGGTCATCAAGGTCTGTTACTGATTCAAGGCTGTCTCCCTTTGGTTCTGGCTCTCTTTGACGTTTCAATGTATCCATTCAAGGCTTCGAGAAGTTTTCGCGGTATTGGTTCCCTTTGGTTGAGTCTTCTTTTTTTCTGTTTAAGGGTCTGATCAGCTCTTATCGAAGCAAGGAGAGGATTTGGTTAGGCTTGATCACCCTGATCAAATCCACAATATATTGGTGTTGTGTATATCAAATTCCCTTTTGGTTTTTACTAGCGTGTTCTCCCTCCTTCCAATCTCTACTTTTCTTTTTGTTTCGTTGTTGTGGTTTAACTGTTGAAAAAGTAGGTACATTTCTTCGTTTATGTTGTTTTTCTTTTTAGACTGAAGAAGGTTTTGTCTGGTGTCTTTAATATAAGTAATAGTTGTCTTTCTTGTTTTACAGTCAGTATTTGTGGTTGACTAGATCTTGTGTTTGCGCATTGTCTATTCATCTTCAGTTATTGACAAAAACAATCTTGAATAAAAGCAATGGGTTGAATCCACTTGTACAACTGCTTTATCCACTCACGTCTGTTGCTTTATTGTTGTCTTTTATTCTTAGTACGAGTTGACTAAAGTATAGTTCACTTATTAAACTACAGTGATGTTCCTTTCGATACGCTATGACATTATGTTTCGCTTTTACACATCTGCGCCTAGTCTTTGTAACAACTGGATCAAGACGCGAATGTGGTCTGTAAATGTCAGTAAAGCGGAAAAAAAAGAAAATGATATTCAAAGATATCATTGGAGATTGAACCACATTACCATCCTCTTACTAATAGCCCAGCGGTAACAAAATCCGTTACCTCTCACAATAACCCAGCGGTAATTAAAAAAAAATAAAAAAAAAAAAATAAGAGGTAACAAGGTCCGTTACCTCATAATAGCCTAGCGGTAACAAGGTTCGTTACCTCGTAATTCAAGGTCGAAATAAATTTCTCTCAAGAATGTATTGAGACCTTCGAACATAGAACAGTAAACATAAATTGCTGCTCCAGCGTAAGAAACATCAAAAACCTTCCATAGCATCGAAAAACTCCTGGTTTTCTTCATCATTGTTAGAGCCTTCATCAAGCTGAACCATTGGTAGATTTGCTCCCAGTACTTGGTTGGTAAAATCCACCGTCGATAAGTGTTCCCGCCGGTAATGGTTCTGAAATGTTTTTGAATCAACCCAGTTGTCCAGCGTCTGCATATCGTCAAAAGATATTCCTTGTTTTAACGCAATAGAGGATGCAATGGAGCGTACACTGACTCCTGATTCGCTTGTAGACTGTCGTAGTGCCTTTCTCAGCCAAGAAGAGATGGTGGTAGTTTTGACCGCTTGTTGAGGACGCTTGGTGTTGACGAATAAAACGTCAGGCTGGCGTTTGACTTTTGCCACCGGATGATCTTTTAATGCTTGAAAAGATAACACTGGACAAATGTCCGAAACTTGATGGGGATGAATAAGTACTGGTTTGATAATTCGTCTGCCTTGTCTAGTTTCTTTAGGTACCACAATATCAAATAATAAGTTGCCCTGGTTGTCCCGAGTTGCGGATAAAAGAGATATTCTCTGTAAGTTCAATGGTCGCAGAAAGGCTGCCATTGCTACCAAAAACGCAGTCTTAATTTGCAGATCTGCCAAGGAACAACGCTTGATGTCGATCTTGGCTACGAATTGTATACTTGGTTTTAAGTCGATTGTTGGACGATGGATTGCTAGAGGCGGAGCTTGTTTGGTGACTGCATTCATGAAAACTTTCAGCACCTTTTCTTGTGAAATTGAATCCGCATGTGTGTTGTGAACATATATGAATCTATATGCATAGACCA